AACGGCAACTTTTGTTAACCAGTGACAATAATGCAGATTATGGGAACTTCACATGACAATTCTGAAAACAATTCAAGGCTATTCTGAAATCTGGGTGGTCAGATGGTTAGCATATAAATAATCAGTACAGAATATTAAATGTGTGAGAATATAACTAAGGGTATTTTACAATGTAAAAGCAAAGAGCTGAAAGGAATGTATAAATGTAACATTTTGCTCCAAACTCCTTATGCAGTTCTCTTTACGATTATCAAAAAGAATGTATATAAAGCCCCTGTCCCTTTTCCCATGGCTGTATATTTATACAAATCAGTGACAAATACTCCACTGCTCATTAATTTACAGTTGCATAGAAAGGGAAAAAGAAAAAAAAAGATACTATAAAAACAACATCCTCGTCTTTGGGTATTCAGTGTTTTACTATTTCAAGTAGAACACGCAGTCAGAGTGAACAGCATGTCCCAGGGTCCCATGCAGCCTTCTGATGAAGCGGAACTGATGATCGGTGGTTTGTAGAAAAGGGCTGTACTGCACGTCAGGAAGCACTGGTCAACGTCCAAATGAACACTTCACATTGCCTGTCATGATGAGAAATAACCATGTCACTACCACATTAACACACACAGAAAGCTCTAACTGTTCTGGGCTTGGTTCTGTTAAGGACTCTGATGCTATTTTACAAAAAACCCGTATTTTAAAGTTTAAGATTTATTGGCCCAAGACTCAGCAAATCACTGAGGTATGTAGTTAAGAGAAACCTAATTTTAATATAGTGCAGTTTTTAAAATTAACATCTACAGAGCAGTAAGTAGACTTATAGTCTCTGCATGTTCTCTGACAGAAAAAAAAAAAACTTTAGACAAACTAATGTCCTATCTGAAGCCTAAGTGGTAAGAATGGAGAGTATACAGAGTCTGCATTTGGACTCTGCCCCTTCAAATGTGACGCTAAGTTCCAAGCTCCTCTATCAGGATTCTGTTCCAGAGCAGACACATATGCCTTCCATAATGGTTCTGGAAGGGTAGGTTTCTAGTGAGACCATTAAGGAATAATCCTGTATCTAAAAAAAAAAATCAAATGCTTTTTCAGGAAGACAAGTATTATTCACTGATGACACCGAAAGCTATTTCTGAGTAAGAATTCACTGATGACACCGAAAGCTATTTCTGTGCCTGTTTAGAGGAAGGATTTCTGAAAAATGCTAGTTTAATTCAGTAATTTAACCTATTGAGACTGAAACACAAAGTCTTGAGTTAACTGAGTGCAAGGTATGATTCATCCCATTCTCTTTAGAAATTCTTGTTTGGGAGGACAATCCCACTGTCCCAGATTTTGCAATCCAAGAAAGTGTTTGCACAGCAATATTTCTGAATTTTTAGATATTAATTTTGTCAAGGTCTGACCTTGCAAACTGTGGACTAACGGACAAGGTGAAGCAATTTGGGGGAGTAAATAGACTTTCCCTACCACTTAATTCTTCTGAAGTTTCACACAGCAATTTGTGCTAGTCTCTAAAACTTATTTAACAATGAAACTCTCAAAGAACTCTGCAATGGCACAAGATTGTGTTGTTCCTTAATTGTCATATGTGGGCTCCAATATCAACCTAAACCTACAGCAAGTTTCTTTCCTTTTTCTGTTAGTTATAACAGAAAATTAACCGATCATTCATACCAGGTAGATGGTCAAGAACAAGTATCTAAATACCAGATTCTTTTCCAGATTTTGTGAACTCTGAATATAGCCTAATTGCTGCTTTTAGTTTGTAAAGTGGCTGCCTGTTAGGAGAAGGCAGCGTCATCTAACACCTAAGATGCTGTGTGGCTCTCGGTCCTTGTGCCCTGGTGCCCAAAGCTCCTAAAACTGGAGCTATGGGTACAAGGACACATGGATGTCTTTGCAAGAACCAGTTTTCCTCTTGCAAGCTGATGCTGGCTTGAAATTAATTGGCCTTGATAGATCCAAGCTGATTCCATCCGGTCAGCATCCCAGAACTGCGCACCATAGTACTTTTAGTAATGCCTGAACTAGCAGGAATTTTCTCTTAACTGGGATAATTCCAGGATGTAGCCTTCCTGTTACATTGGTCTAGCTTCCAAATAGGCCTCTAGGGAAAAATCTAGAAAAACCCCCTTCCACTTTGCTTTAATGGAAATTTTCCACTTGCTTTACTTTGCTTCCAATGACTATGCAAATATGTAAACATGTCTCATACCTGTGGTCTGCCAGTGAAACTTGCTGCAAATAGAAAAAAAGAAAAAAAAAAAGAAATTTAGAAATTTACACAATTCTGCACCTTGGCAGTTTGAAAACAAAGCCAGTATCAGGAAAATACATAGTAGAGAAGAACAAAAAGACTCTTATCTTTACAAAAAATGTTTAACTAGAAGTGTGTTGTAATGGTCTATACATAACTTTCTTCACAAATTTACTTTTCTTTTAACAAATGTATAGCATTATGAATATATAGATTACATGATTTATTTCCTTTTCACCACTTGCAACCATATAGACCTATAAGTGGTGAATTATATGTTCAAAATGCTCTGTTCTAGAACTCACTCGTATGCACAGGCAAGACTATTGCACACTGCCTAGTTCTGAGGACTGACCTCATAAATAAGGAAGGAAAAGAGGCATTATATTCACAACCAAAATATCTGGGGAGGAAGGAAAAAAAAACCCACAACCCACCATTAAGAGCAGTTCTGTCCTCACTACGTGAATATTTGCCTCATAAGGTATATTTTGAGTAAGTAGAAATACTGATTTCAAGATTAATTACAACCTGAAACCCACCAAAAAATAGCAAATAAGAAGACTGGCTCTATTATACAGTCAAGATGGGATAAAAATAATCTATGTAAGGGTCAGATGTTAGTAACTCCTTAATGAATGCTGCGGCCAAGGTAGGAGAGACCCGTAGTGATGAGGTTGTGAAAAAATAGCTTTTTAATTTTTTTTTTTTAAAGTAAATGGACACAATATGTTGAACATGAAGGCTGTTCTAATATAATTTAGCTTGGGTATAATTAAAAAAAGGATAATGATATTATTTTTTAAGGTTAGGAATACAGTGATGCTCTTAAAACAGATTGCCTAGGGAGTCCGTGGAGTCTGTCTATCCAGAAAGACAGATCCACCTCAAATGGCCAGAGGAAAAGATGATGGAATAGATGGTATGCCGTGGGTTTTCCTAGCAAAACTCAAGAGTTTAATGCATTCTGTTGGAAAGGCCAGACTAACAACCCTCATTCCAGGCTTCTAAAACAGAATGTGAATCTTACATGGTTAAAAAATACACTCCTAGTAAATCTCCCAAGTAAGAGATGCTATGGAATGACTGAAGAAGAGCAAACATAAATAATATCTACTAAATAGGGCATGCTGGTTTGGTTTGATTTCTACAGCAGCACGTCAACGACAAAGGGAAATAAATCACATGAAATTTGGAACAGTTATTTTAATCTTAAATGCTCATACACATGTAACAATACAAAATGATGTGGGGCCGTGCTTTTCACTCACAATACCCTCCTGCCTCATTCAAAGTATTGCTTCATGGATATTAGATTTTTTTTTTTTTTCCCCATTATTCCTGGTTGTGGAGAACAGCCATCATTATTAAGCTTACCCTGGCACAGGGCGATTTGCTTTAAATCCATTGGGGCTAAATGACCAGGTAGCTGTCTACTCCTTATATGCGCAAGACAGGAATTTGCAAAAACAAGAATTGATATTTGAGTCATATTTTCTACTGATTTATATACACACACATGCGCTGGAGTTCTGCTGAGTAGCTCCACTAGCTGTTGACTTCAAAAAGAGATGCTCCATAGAACCAAATCCTTAATTTTCAAAATGATGGGCTCTGAACAATTGAACTCACTGAAAATCTCAAAGGACAGCTGAAACAAGACCTTTTTTGCTAGATCCTAATTTACTTTCTCAAAATGTGCAAAGTGCATCTTCTATGATCCAGGTCTTCACAGCCAAGCAATGTATGATACGACAGATAAAAGGGGTATTTTAATTGGTTTCACCAACTTTACAAAATTATTAATAGAGTTCAGTCTCAATGCTTTTGCAAGAACTGGGCATAAACACCTTCCCTCTCACTTGTGCCTTTTAAAACTTTATTTGAAAGAACTGTTGAGAGTTTAAGACTATATCAAAGTTTTCACCAGGGTTCTTCTAAGGCAAAAGAGCTGAAGGTGTAGATATCTATGTATGTATGTATTTTAAAATAAAATACACTGAATAAAAAAGTTACCACTTCACTCCCCCTGTTCACACCAACAATCTGTATGAAGTACTGCCGGAAACAGAGACAGCTCGTCACGCTCACGAGTGCAGTGACACTTTGGAAGGAACAGGATCAGGGGAAATATACATCAGGTGATATAAGCCATGCATAGGAAACTAAATGGTTTTCCTTTTGATCTCTCTTTAATAGACACTGAATAAAACACCAACTTCCAATGTATTCAAGCAGGGAAAGGTGTTATGTGCTGTGTTAACAGTTATTTCCTCTGGTCAATTAGTTTAATAGCTAGTTCAGTAATTAGTTCAGGCAGTCAGCATTGGACTAGGGTCCCTCTTGTTGCCTAAGGCCTTTTTGACAGGTTTTATTAGAGAACCAGCATTCAGAATTTCTAAACCTACATTAACTGAAGTTCTACATAAGGTTTAGATCAGCAGCTAATAGGATTCTAGGTTTCTTTTCCCTTACATGGGCACAGCTGAAAATTCCATATGGAACTATAGGCTTTTCTTACAGTGAATCACTTCCACTTAAAACATGAGAATATTTATTTACTTGCAAAAATAGTGTCCCTTAAGGAACTTTAAAGAACAGAATTATGTAGCTTGCATATCTTGACAAGAAATCTCATCAGAGAAAAGATTTTCTTCCTAATCAATACCACAAGAATGACTTTTTTTTCCAAAAGACTGCCTCAGATTCAATACTGTTCTCAGAAACATGTTGTTACACTTACAGCAGCAAGCTGGAAATGTGCTGTTGATTTGCTCCATAACATCTGTTAGATCTGTGTTGGTATCATGAGGCGGAACTAACAAGTCATCTGCAGATATGACAACAAAAGGGAGTAATGAATTCAGTAACAAGAGACGGAAGAAAAAAAAAGACAAAAACATTCTGAAAGGCATTCTCATCCAACTTTCCAGTTAAATACTCCTTTATATTTCAAGGGAAACAACTACCTGAGGCCTTTGTAATTTCATGTGCAGGAACTGTCATTGATAATTGCCAGCCTTGGGAGAGGAGGTGAAAGTTACACTATTGATTTGCAGCAGAATTCATTTCTCTTTTATTAAAGCTTAACCATTGCACTGAAGATTTAACTAGTAGAAGCTGCCAAGAAGGAGCAGTATATAAGAATTTACAGTCAAAATAAATAAAAGGTTTACAAGATGAGGGAATTATAATCAGTAGCTGCTCAATTAAAATTCTGTTCAATTTTCAGATGATTTGCCATGTAACTTTCAGAGTGAATACACCATTCTTTTTCTGAAAAAATACCCCATTTATCTTTTATACGGTCCTTATTCAACATGCACCAGCAATTTCACTAGTGTTAAAATCCTCCTTGCCATTTTTAAAAAAAAAATGCTGCTTAAAATCAGCTAAGGGAATGGTTAGGGAATACAACTGGCTCTGTTACTGGAGGTTTTATTGGCCAGCATCTCTCATAAATTTACCATTGCATTAAATCAGACTTGAAGAAGTTCCACATTTTTACAGATAAAGTAAAAACATGTCAATGCTGAATGAAAAGTTTTCAGCATGCAAGAGAATAGTTTTCCTGTTTTACAAAGAAACAAAATATTTTTTAACCCGTAACACAAAGACTTGAAAACAAAACCAGGTAGGAAATTGCACTTAACATAATTTGAGAAAAATGTTTTGTTTTTTTTTCCCCTAATTTTGAACATTCAGTAATCTGTAGTTATTTCTGCTAATTCCCAGTGGAATTAATGAGTTCTGATATTAAAGAATTTAAAATAATCTTTCAAGAGATAAATCCCCTCATGGGCAGAGGCTGTACACTTAAAGACTCTGCAATTCCTAAAGATGTGAAGTCTTTGAGGGATGGGTTCATAAAAATATCAGGATAAGCAGAGGATATACAAAATTTTTAAGGAAGGAATCATGAAGTTTTGATTACGTGTTTCGGACGTTTGTTCCTGTATTTGACAGGTTACTTGGGTGCATGCGTATACTGTAGGACAAACAGCTGTTGGCTATTTCAGTCCAATGAAATCAGTTTCCCCCTTCAGTGAGGATGGATTTGCTCAGTAAATTTGCCTGCTCAAAATGGATGGGACCAAGGATTCTATTGACAGAAATCCATAATTCAGAGTCACATGGACTCTTGTGATACTGCAGCTTTTGCAAGCGTAGGAAAGCAACAGCTCCAGCTGCAGCAAGTCTTGCTCCCAGTAGCATCACAAAAATCCGTTCCTTTTTATTTATAAATCTTTTCAGAAAGATGCCAAACATATTCAGTAGTCACCTATAGACCCCTGCAGCACTTTATCTGATTGAAATGGTTTTAAACCAAAATAGACTTAATTTAGATTAGATATTAGGAAGAAATTTTTTCCTGTGAGGGTGGTGAGGCACTGGAACAGGTTGCCCAGAGAAGCTGTGGATGCCCCATCCCTGGAGGGGTTCAAGGCCAGGCTGGATGAGGCTTTGAGCAACCTGGGCTAGTGGGAGGTGTCCCTGCCCATGCTGGGGGCTGGAACTCCATGATCTTTAAGGTTCTTTCTAACTCTAACCATTCTATGATTCTATGAAAACACTTACCTGTTTGATGGAACTGTGAGTTTGTCTCTTGCTCGAGCGAGTAGCCAAGGGCAGAGTGCTGGGGCGAAGCACAGGGGGAGGCGCCGTTAACCCGGGAGTCGGATTCAGGCTACGTGAAAGACAATAATACCCAAATTTAGATAAATTGTATCTACAGAATTTAAGAGTGGGCTTGTATGCAGTCATCCCGCTCCTTTCCTTTTTTATGTGCTCTTTCATGTTTGTGCTCCAAACTATTGAAAGTTGCCTTAGGTCTATACAACCATTAGGGGGAAAAAAAACAAACCAAGAGTTTGTTAAAAGAAATTCTTATGAGCCTCCAGTTGGTGGTCTTGTTAAAAACAATATTCTGTTGCAACCATGCAACATAGAAACACAGTATTATGTACAACCCAAACAGTCTGCCGAGACTCTCACTCCAGCTATGCAGAAAGACTATGCAATAGTATTATTGGGGTTGTATGTGTGGATATATACATACATATATACACACACAGAAGACAGTCAGATAAGGTCCCCTAAGAAGCTTTACTAGGATGACTGATCGTGCTCAGAAACAACTGTTCAACCATGACCAGTTTTGCAAAACTCCTTCCCAATCAAGCCAAGTGAAGACACAAGATTCAAGAGAACTTTGTTAATCTAAGACGTGGTAGCTAGCCATCACTCCTAGAAGCTAACACTTCTTCTCAATAGTGTGGAGGACACCAAATTCACACGAAAACCACAACCTCTGTAATATCCAGAAAATTATGACAAGGAATCCATGTACTTTGGATACTGTGTTGTAAGGCAAGCCTTTCTGGACTCTTAAATGCACCTGAAGAATCAAACACATAAGTTCTATATGAGATTTAGTTGTAACCATGTATGTGCTTGAGAGTATGTATAAGTATACATATGGACACAAAATAAGAAAAGACCGTGAGAGTCGTTCACTATAACAACTCATAAATATTGGAAGGGATCTTTTTCAGGATTTTTTTTTCCTCTTTTCCTTCTTTCTTGTAAGAAATCATTTGAAGAAGAGAGTAGTAATACAGTATTTGAGTTCCAGAAGTGATTGTTCTGAAAAAACAGAAGCACGTGAAACAGTATTTACATCTGAGGCAGTTACAGAACCTTAGCTGAAATGGTTGCCCCTATCATTTATCTTTTTGATTGCAAATCATCATATTACTTCCAAACAGCTTAAAGAGCAGATTAAGTAAATCTGTGAAAAGCAGACACAGAAGTAATAAAAAAATATCATTACCTTCAAGATCTTTTTGAAACTGAGACTGAACAAGTACTTAGAACAGCTATGAGACTCAATGCAAAGAGGCAGTAAACAGAATGGCAGTTAATTTGTGCACAAGTTTGCTCCTTTGCCTTAAGAGCAACATTCAATTTTTGGAGACAACTTCCAGTTTAAAAAAAAAAAAATCTTCAACAAAACTGAAGATTGCTGAAAAATGAAAAATACTTTTTCTTCCATACACAGTGGTGAGAAATAGAAGGAAATATTCCCTTGAGCACTCAGAAAAATCTTTTTTTCCCCTCCAAATCTCATCTCTCTTTCAGCATGACAATACCAACTACCAGCTCTGACTAAAAGAATAAATCAAGAAATATTGCTCTGCATATAGAAGACAAAGAAAAATGGAAATGTTTTCAAGCCAGCCAAGGATTTTACTGTAAAGACAGTCCTACAAACAGTGAATGCCTCTCAAGTAGTTCAGTAATTTGCTGTTCAGCATCAGTCTTCAACCAAGCTACAGGGTCTTGGTAAAATGAGTGTGGTGATTTTAAACAGGCCAAGCTTGGAGCAGCTAACCCCAGGTAATTCTGTATAGCCAGGAACTTCTCTTCAAGAAGACGTTAGCTACAATGGTAAAGAAATGAAGCACACTCTCCAAGGGTTAAGAGTATAACTTCAGTACAGAAGAACACGGTTAACTCCAGCAGCACAGTGACTGCTTGCTCACCCCACAAACCGATGGAGAGAGAGAATTTGAATGATCCAAAATGCAAACTTGCACCCGGACTAGATCTCTGTTCCTCTTCAAGCAGTAACTGTGGACAAATGGTGCAGAGATGACTACAGATGACTGACGAAGGAAGATCGATACTTGATACAAAACTGCAGTACAGCAACACATAGGCTAGACCAAGGATAGTAAGGCACTGCAAAGTCAAGATTAATTAGGATAATTAACAATGAGTTAGTAGTGAAGGTTATTTAGTACCACTTAGGAGCGCTATTGCAAACGACAAAAAAACCCTGCATAGAGCACAAGGACTCTAACCGTGGATAAACTGCAAACAAACCAAACATACTTGGAATACTTTACATTGATGTACCATATATTGATGCAGCAGTCAGAATGAAATATTGCAGCTGGATTTAAAAAAAAAACAGATAACAAAAACCACATCCCTTTCTAATCAGAGGACAATGTCTGATGACTTCATTTTCATTTAAATATACTGATAAATGTTACATTACATAGTTCCAGTGACTGCAATAGCAAGAAAAGCCTAAACAAACTCTTCTTCCAAAATCAGGACAATACAGGTAAGCAGACAAAGAGTGGGGTCTGGAACAGAAAGGGAAGGACTCTTGTAGTGGCATAAATGCCTTAATATAATCATCAGTTATTGAAAAATGTTAAATGCAAAATAGTTGAGGATATAGCTGCCCATATTTACATGATTTAACCGTTTTACTGGGAGAGAACCTGAGGGAAAAAAAAAATGTAGAAAATCATGTTCTACTTGATCCCAGTTGCATAACACTTACAAAATCTGATCACTTCCATCATCATGAAGTTCATGCATACTTATTAAAAACAACCCAGTAGACAACCCGTAAGCCAGAAACCAGAGGGAAATAGCCCTAGATGTTACTGTATGCCTGCTTCTTCCTCCTGAATAAATAAAAGCAGCGATACTGAGCATACCTCTATATGGATGCAAGGGAAATTTCCGACTCCAGTTTCTGGGAGCTTTAGAACTCCTTTCAATGCAGAACCACATAAGAGATATGAAGGGACAGATAAGTTGTTCTCCAGAAAACTCTGAAACCGAGGGATTTTTCTGCAGTACAGCAGTTTTTAAAGCACTTCAAGGGAGATATTTATTTCTACCAATTTTGATCTACAGTGCCTTATTTCACTGTGCCTCCTGCTGGTGTCTTTCCTAAAGAAGAGCCTGGAGCATTTCGTGGCTTAATGGATAGATAAGACATACCCATGCTTCCCTTGACTTCTGTTGCTTTCGATAAAAAAACAAAACACCACCCACTCCCCAACCCCAAATCATAGGAAACCTCAAAACTGTCAACTCCCTTTCCACATCCATTACAAATGTGTCTTCTTATTCCAGACTTACTCTTCTAGCTACAAAAGAAAAAAATCTCCTCTGCTCTTCTGATGAAGTTCCTCCATTTTCAGTTGGAGAAGGAGCAGCAGTCCCTGTTTACGCTTCGAGCCTGATCACATAGCCATTGACAGGTTATTTTACCTGCCACTAACTTCAATATCAAATCCAATACAAAACCTCTATTCAGTAGCTCACACAAGCAGAGAAAAATCCAAACAGACTTTAAATGCCCTTCATAATAGGTCTTACTTCTACTTTGCACATGCAGTATCTAAAAGGGCGGAAGAATGAAAAGTGAAAATGGATTCTTTAGTTTTTCCCTTTATGATTAACATATTGGTATCAAAGTTGTCACATGCCAGTTCTGTTTCACCTTCCTTTTTGGCACTATAATCAATCAGGCAGACAAAAATGACAACACTGTGTGACAGCTACCAATCCTTTGGGCTTGCTAAAATAAAAATAGTATGGTAACCTCAGAACTGTGACCTGAAGTAGGCAAATGTGCAGTGAGGATGCGTGTGTATTTCTGCTAACGGTGCTCTCTAAAGAACGTCTTAGAATGCTCTCATCTGGATTAAACAGTTACCACAGGAAAGATTCTAAGTTTCATTAATTCTCTACCCTAACATCTGTATGTAGACTCACTCCACACATTTTAGAGAAAAAAATTCCCAGTATTTTAGATACAGTGGCAAGTTATTAATCCAGACAACATTCAGGAAGCTGAGTGGAGAAGAGAAATGAAGAGACTTGCTGTTGACAGAAGAGAGAAACAGAGATGGCATGAAATGCCAGTCCCAGCAAAGAAATTGCTGTAAAACAGTCGTATCCTTTAATACTAGTAATTATTATTACAGGAATTATAGAGTTGTTATATATTTTGTCATTTGGACTTATGAGAATCTTCCACCCAAATAATCGACCTCACTAATGAGCAATGGCATTCCTTGTATCCACTAAAAAAAATAATAATTGGGACAGCCAATAAAAGCAAAACAAACAAATAAATATACTTAGATCCTCAGCTGCCTTCTGATAAAGTCCTACATCAAGCAGTGAAAGAATTAAAGACTGCCATAGCCTGTGGATGGCCCAGGTGACAGAAAAACGAACATGCTGAAGACTGGTCATTTTTTCAGAAAGTTAAGGGGCCACTAATGGGAATCTGTGCTGCTTCATAATTGCACTAATGTCAAAATAAAGACATTCCAAACAACATATACTAAAAATCTGAATTCTTTTCAATTTCTGAATCGACTGCAGGAGAGAAGATTCAAAGGCCTTGGAGACAGCCTGCAAAAAATCTGCTTAGAGGCAGGTCAAAAAACCCCTGCTAAATAAAGTAAGGATGCATATGGAAAGGCATATTGAAAAGTCACAGATATAACAGCAATAATGCAGACCTTCTCATATAATTGACTTCATACCAGCCACTCCATTAAAAGATAGAGGAGAAACAGGAACAGCTTTTGGCAACAATCAGAAGCATGGCATGCCTCCCACAGAGGCGGGAGATTTCAGACAGGAAGTAAAAGAGCAACAGTGCATAGTAAATGAGGTGTATATGATCAGAAGTATTGAAAAAGGTCAGTGTTGTTATACCTTACCCTATGAGAAACCACAAGCTGCAGAATTCCCAGAAAAATCCAAAGGCAGTACTGATCAGAAGAAACTACTGTGCCTCCCCTCCGACCACTTTATCACGACACACATGTACACCCTAAAGGTTTTACTATGAATGTTATAAGGATACCGAAAATATTACAAAATAAGATTACCCACAGCTACATTAGAAAAAATAAAGTTTTAAAGGGTGAACATGTTCCTGCTTTAAGCACTAAGCTGAAAGTGGCCGTGGGTTTGCCAGAACTGTGTTTCTATTCTACAGCAGTTTCTTTGCAGATTTTAAACCCTTCTCCATAACAGCTAGCATTGGCCACAGTTCTCAAGATACTTCATGAATGATTGTTAGTAGTTGCATCAGTTGTTATCTTCCCTGTTCAAATATTTAAGCTACTCAAATGCCAATTAAAGAGGCTAGAATGACAGTAACAACAACAAAAATACTCTGCTAGAGGGGCAGGGAAGCCATTGGAACAGATGCATCAATACTATTCAGCCAAAAGTGCCTAGAAATATGACAAAGTCAGCCAGCAGAACAAATATACAAAAAATATCTTTATCACTGTGATGAAAGTATCATCCACAGCAGGAACTTATGTCATTTTGATACCTAGTTTATGCAGTCTGTTTCTTGGCTTAGTTAAATTTTCTACAGTCACCTGTACTCATGGAAGGTGGAAATGCATCTGCCTTACTGGACTCTGACCCAAATATAACAATTAGTTATGAGAAAACTTTCATACAAATTTCTCTTCATCCTTCAAGCTCCACCCATGACACAGTACAGACTAGCATCTCTAACAACACCTTGCAGATGTTGCTCTTGTTATTTTTATAATATAGATATGCATATGCTGACTTCAAAAGCAATCAACATCGTTTTCCCCAGAAAAGAAACTCTACAATCTCTAGCTACTGACATCTGGCTACTGGCTCTTGCCTTCAGCATTTACTTGTGTGCAGACCATTTTGCTGGAGTTTATTGGTCTAAATATGCTACTCAAGAGGAATTGGATTTTTAATGAATTGCTCCTTTGCACGTTAGACATATCTTTGTCCATCTCTCTTTGGCATGCTAAGAAAGGTTTCAGTAACTAACTGTGAAAACAAATAAATTATTTAAGGAAAGAATGGAGAACTGAAGTCAAACATAGGGTGCGACTGACACTGCTACTCAAAATAGGGTATATATTTTTTTCCTCCTGCTTTTTAATTTAGAAAGAACTATTGCATTTGTTTGTGTTATTCTCAATGTTTCATAAGTTACCAGCACTTGTAATCAGCTTGGGCTTTTTGACTTTCACCACGCCTTATAACAGAGAGTAAGAAAAAAAATCTTTCTTCATCCTAGGAATGATTGAGTACAACAGACCAAGCTAGTGCAGTAAAAATATCTGCAGTAGAATTCCAATGCCTTTGTTCCACCAAGAAATCCATCATGCAGAAACAACACAAGGGAAAGACATCAGTATACATTTACCTGCTCAAGTAGCTGCCGTAGACGGTGAAGCTGAGACTCCAATTGTTTATTGTGATCTTCCAATATTTGCATCCTTGCTTCCAGGCGACCTTTATGTTGCCTCAGGAGTTTAGCTTCAGCTATGAGCTCGGCATCTTCAGAAGCATGGTGAGGTGGCACAACAGAGTCAGGAGGTGATCCAAGAGGGTTTATTCCTCTCCGAAGATGTTGTTCCTTTAGTTGCTCATATTCTATCTGCAGACTCCTGGTATATTGAAAAGAGGAGGAGAATGATGACTTAAGCACATTATAAAAATCTTCCTTATGTTACCATTGCCTCCAACTACAGAACACAAGTAGCTCAAACAAACACAATGTCTTGACTTGCAATTTACAGGGAAAAAAACCACACAATAATGTAGAGGTGAAGCTAAGGTATTTTATCACAGACCCACTCTCTTCCATGCAACAGAGTCAGGCTATGCACTACATACACCTTGAATTTTTGGGGGGCTAAAATGACTCCTAGGTCCATTCTTCTCATCTCCAACAACTATACACAGTACATGCATGGTGACAATTCACAGACACCAGGTAAGATGCTTATGAGACCTTTGCTCTTCCTCGAGGTCAGCAATGATGCGCTCCAACTCTCCGCGCTCTTCCTTTTCCACTGACTTGAGTATCTGGGCAGGACTCTGCGGCTGACTCACAGGTGACTCTCCTCCCAGCGTCTGACAATACTGCTGGATAAGGGCATGCTCATCCTCTCTAGAGCAATAAAACAACACAGATAAAGATAGAGCAGTAAAACATTTATTACTTGAGCAAACATCTTTTGTCAAGCTGAGGGATTTTGTTTGTTTATGAGAAAGGACTAAGAGAGCAGGAAATCAGCCTGCAAGAATCTCATATATAAGTGTCAGATATGTGCCTCAGCAAATCGTATTAAAATTTTTATGAGCTGTTTCTAAAAAAATATACTGCAAAAAAAAAATAACATACAAAGGCACATTGTACAGGAAAAAGAAGGCTGATCTGTAGTGGTGAAAAAGCTCAGTTTAATGTATGCAAAAAGAAGAAAATGCTGCTGGTGGTGTGAAAAGAAATAGTGAAAGAATCTAATATAAACCAAAAAATTACTGATTTGAAATTCCTTAAAAATAAATACAACAAAACAAGGCATCTGGTATTTACTTTTTTTCTTTTTTTACCATAAATAGCTGACATTTTTAATATTCTTTAGGAGATAATTTTGGTGTGCTCAGTTTACCTAATAAAATGAGAGAGGGGAAAAAAAGCTCCACAGAATTCTTCAAGAAGTCATAGACCAACAAATCATCAAGTATGTAGCTAACACTGTGCACTGCACAAAGGGACTGAAAATGCTTCAAAAATAATGTTATAGGTTTTGAATTAGCATTATATTTCCAGATTGTCTTTCCATTTTGACATACCTATGTGACACCTTGCAGGTCTTCAAGGGTAGCAGATCTTACAGATTCAGGGATAGAATTAAACTATAACACTGTCATCCTGACTCACATAGAAATTACCTTCTGGTAAGGAGATACAGAAGTCCTGACACTTCCACTTATGCTATGATGCCCAAATGAGTTTGCTTTTGTATGTGTGCCTTTCTTCCTCGGTTGACGGCTTTTCTCCACAGTAAAGCCAGATAGATAGGAAGTGAAGGATACCATGTCCTACAAATAGCTTGTTTGCTTACTTACTCAAGAAGGATAAGTCAGCAGCAGAAAAACATATACCGTTCACGTTTTTAAGAGAAATTGCTGCAGCAGTATGAATGCTGAATAAAACCCTCCTTAAACGCCCTTCTTTGCTTGACTACAAACCAGAGGTTGTACACCCTATGATACTGTGAAGTACTGTCCCTACAAACTTTATCCTAAAGATCTTCTACAGTTAAAGCATAGTCAACGACAGAAAGAAAAACACCTAGGCAATATATATGCACATATTCAGATACCATTTAGAAAAGAGACTTTTTCACATTAAAAATTGTTCTTGTGCTGACATTTTTTCCTACCATTGGTGAAAAGAAGTAGCTATGAACTCTGCTATCAACTGATTGTGGTCTAACACAATGAGAAGTATCCTCAAGGACTGCCTTTGAAAGCAGATACAAAAAATAGGAAGTTCATTATATGCAGAGTATTTATTTTCCAAGAGCTTTCTAAGAGGCTTTTTAAAAAATTTCCTGACAGTCAGTTTAACATCTTTCATCATGAAAGATCCAAATGTACAGTCTCATTTGAATGAACAGTAAAACCGTCTGTTTAAAAATGTATACCCTGAAAGAAACAGAAGTTATTTCTGTGGTGACAAATAACCTATAAATTAATGCATGTACAAGTCAAACACATCAGGTGTTTTACACACCATGCACATGGATTGGGGCTTTTCTCAGAAATAAATTCAAGCTCTTAGGGTAAAGGGAGCAAATGCTTCTGACAGGAACAAACGAGAGTTGCAAACATACTGGTTGTGTAATGGAAGATCCTATTTCATCCTGCTGAATTTTTGTAGCTCAGTACATCAATACCCATTTAAAAGCATCACCTGTGTTAGGAGCAAGACAAAATAAACACAAATTTAATAAATACTGATTCCCTGTGTCTCTCTGTTGGAGAAGCACTTCTATCACGCAGCAAAGTGATGTAGTTCATTGCAGTACTGCTTAAAGACAACCTTTCTACTGAACACTAATCCTATGGTAGAACAACCCTGAACTCTTTCTTCTCAAGGATAAGTATTCACCATGTACCCAAAGCTATCATATGGTCTTCCACTTTCTGATTTGTCAATGAGATTTAAAAATCTAGACTATTACAATCAAAGAAATGCACATCAAGTAACACTATACGTAAAAAAAAAAAAAAAAACAAATGAAAAGGAAAAAAATTATAGCCTGTGACAGTTCTATCCACTTTAAAAGTTCATGTCATTCTATTCCACATAAGTTCATTTATGATATAAAGGTTAAAAACAGTCAGGTATGAAGATATGCTTCCACAGAGCTCTGATTGCATATCACTTTCCTTCATCCTGCCTTTTTTGACTGACTACTGGTTTCAGGAAGTTTACATGTAAAATTGAAAAAGGAACCTAATTACTGAGTTCTTCCACTTTTAACAATGAGTTGAAAATTTAAAGGGAATAATATACATCACTTATTTCTTATTTGTCTTGGCTGTAGTCAGTACTGTACTCATGAGAAGAAATGCCAATGTTGATCTTCCCATGCAAATGAACAAATGTAATGAATTTTTCATTCAATACAGCTATATAATTACATATAATTGGGGTTGCATATGCATTTAGGTCATTCAAAAATACAGGAGATATCTGACAGTGTTATCTGAAAAGGAAACAGAGCAGTGCTCCTTTTTTTTTTCCCCTTACCTACAGAAAAAAAATCCTGTAATCGCTTTTTCTTCTCTGCTACTTGAGTGATCTCAGGGAAACCCATCATCACTTCCTTTGTTATTTTGCATTAGTCTAGTTAAAACTAAAGTAAATGCTACTGCAGTTAATGAAGTTTGGATCAGGTCCTGATGTGATAATGGAATCTCACGGTACTTCTCCACCCTTTAACCCCACCCCTTATAACTAAATTTTTGCCAAAGTGATGTAACCCCTTTTGGGGCTTCAAACCCTGCTGTATATAGGAGGGCTTCTACAGCCCTGAAAAATGTGCAGAATCCCCTCACCGTGACCAAAACATCTGCACTAAGTCACATCTCCAGTGAGCACAGAAAGAGACTGTTAAAGCAGTCTAGAGAAAGAAGTTTTATCATCCAGGTTTCAAAACATTGTTTATGTGTTAATTCAAATTATATAGTGAAACTACAACATGTGGCCTCTTTTGTGCAAGGGTGGTGAAGCTGTCAGGAAAGGTTCATGTGATCAAGCGGTTTAGTCTTGTTATTAGGCATTGAAAAGCTGCTGTCTACATTTTAAGATGATTAATTTATAAACAACTATGTAGGTCATATGATTTTTTTTTAAGTAGGGCTCTGTAAAGCTGCATGTATTATATTTTTTGTATTTTTAAAATCTGAAATTCTGTCAAGGTTTTACAATAGGTGCAACCTTATTTTGAAATGAAACTTATAAACCAATTAAAATAAGAGTTTACCCAGTAAATGCTTAGATACTTTTCTTCTGTATTGTGGTCCAGTAGGTGAGATCAACACAGCTACAAATTGTTCAAGAAGGGTTCCAGATAATTTTATAGTTTGGACTCCCAATTATTCAGTCCAGAGAAAAGTTGATTTCCCTCCTCTCCCACTGGTTCAGAGACTCAGAAACTGTACAGGACAGACTGTGGGTATTGACTGATCTTTTTTTAGGGATCACACCTTGCAACTGACAGCAAACTTTTTCAGATGCTGCAGCAAGTACCTGGTAGAAGAAGTCTTCTGATGGAAAACTCTATTTTTACCATGTGTTCCATCTCTGGTCTGTCTTGCAAAATCACTCATTCAAAAAAACCTGAACCTTGAACCTGCACCACCAAACCTCATGACTAAGACGGATTCATTAGCAGCACAGGAGGCCCAGGGCAGGGCTTCACAAGGACCTACAACACAAAGGAGTGACACATGCTCTACGGCAAACACTTTAATTTTGAGAATCCAGGACTCTCTTCTGCAGAATTGGTTGGAGATGGCAATCAGCAGCCAAAATAAATGCACAACATCAACATGAATTCCTCATCCTTTCTTGGCAATTATTTTCCTGAAGACCCTGTGTGCTTTGAGAAAAAGTTAGAAGTACCCAAAGTCCTTCAACAGCAGAGACTACAGTTCCTTTTCAGCATTTCACCATAGTAGAAAGCAGTAAAAATGACATCCCAGGAGGTCAGACTTGAAAGAAGTACATCTCAAAGGGAACGAACACACCAACAAGGAAACGCAGGGAAAATGGCCTTTGAAATATCCTATTCTCTTTGTGGATGTATATTTTCAAGAGGTCTATTGCAAAACATGCATTATGCATGGAGGAAGCAAGAGACAAACAACGTTGCATATAATTTCCCTTGCATTGAGACTACGCCATGGAAAGAAAAATTCAGAATTCCTGACAGTCACTTTTCATCAGTGTATTAGTTTATCTGATTAAGAAAACTGATGGCTAAATTAGATTTTAGATGGGAAGATGTGAGTATTTGTAATCCTCCTTCACTGATCTTTTTCATTTTTCCTGTGGCTCTCATACTAAGCACCATGCATGCTAGTCCAAATATAGTGTTCCTTGACCTACTGATGCCATGAGAAATATTATAATTAGGTTCAAGAAGGTACTCCAAAACACTCCATCTCTTAATTTATTTGTTCTTCTCCTAATTTTATCATCATGTGGAACTAATTTCTCATTGTGACAAGACGCCTTTGAAACACTTACATCATGTCAAAGTATTCAGGTACAACACACTGGGTCTCCAGTTTGACTTATGACACACTGAGTGGCAGTGTCAGCTGAAAGTACCCCCAGTCTTCACTGCTTGTTCCTACCCCTGCACCTGAGTGCAGGGCTCCCAAACAATTAAAATTTCAGATATACTCCAACTCTTCCCTCAGCTGAGTGCGAAGTGGCATCCTCAGCACTGCAGACATGAGGATGGCTGGTAGCAAAGGCGTTAATCAGAAAACAGACATTAAACTTTCCCATTTATACACAAATTATTTCTACTATGTCCAGTGCACTTAAATTCAACATGGGCTAGATAGGACAGATCATATATTACAGGTATAAGAGGGTTACATTCATGTCCTATTTTCCTAATGATGTTCTTTGTCTTTTCATTCTACTACACCATGATTTGTCAAATTGTGAAGCATTGCTTTCTGTTAGGGACACTATCATTCTTTGTTGCAAAGTCTTCATTTTTTCCTTATGCTCATCTTCACTTGTGAAAAGGTCAGTCTGCTTCAGATATAGATGTTTTCACATGAATAAGAGCCAAACAAAATTCATCACAACAGTCTAGTCTAAACATTTAGAACTCCCTAATGTATGGAGAAGATGACATGAAGGAAAAACATTTTTATTCAATGTAATTATATCAGAAAACTCATGCATGAGAGCATTAAAATGTTTGTTAAGAAGCTGGATATACTACAATACAGACTGGGACTTTTTTTGCTATATATATTTTTCAAATTGAGGAATTTTTTTTTTTTTTAATGTAATTCACATAGGCTTCGGGGAGGGGAGGGTTAGAAAAGCTTAGTTAGGGAGATAGAAGAAGTCATAGTGGACATTCTTCAAATAAATTTCTTGTGTTTTAACTAACCTGTTGTCTTGAAAATGAAAGTATTATTGAGAACAATAGCATTTCCTAAATAAAGCTGAACAAGAACAATTTCTGTTTTCTCTTTAAAAAGGCTGATTATATCCATTAATAACTTAAAAGGTGTGGAGTTCTGCTACACTATTTTAATGAACAAAATTGACAAAGCAGTGAGGTTAAAACATTCATGTATTTTTACACTGAGAAAAATAATATTTAATTCATCAACAATTCAAGGGGTTATGTGCTTTCCAGATTCATCAATACATTCTAATGAAGGCTTTTTCCGTAAAAGTGACACATAATCCAAAAAAGAAAATGACATTGATAAAACTAATGTGGGACTACATTTATATCCCCAAGTACAAAAAGATGGATCAGCAGCCAACAAACTGAAATCTAAGGAAGAAGCAGCAACGCTGTTCTGGCTCTGCAAAAACTTGAATACCAAAGACTTTTTTCAATGAGAAGATTGTCCTGGGAGTTAGTATAAGCTATCGACACACTCTGTTGTCCAGTTTGACATAGAAGGATTTATTTTCGTTTATAACATGATAAAAGCAGAAAAGGAATACAAACTAGAACCTATAAATCTGTGACTTTTTTCAAGTCATATGAAATATCCTCCCTTTTGAAGTGGAATGGCTGACAAACGTAGAGCTCCATTAGATCATCAAATGAACGTCTCCAATTTCTACAATTGGTACTTGGAATAATGAAATTTATGTAGGGATCCTTAGTATCATACTTATTAGCTACTTTCCCTGGGAATACATCCTGTGTTACAACTTATGAAGATTATACCATGCAGCTATAACCAAAGTTCCTAGCAGACTTAACAAGCATGAGCTACTTACACGCTTCCTGTGGTGGAGCTACTGTCCGTGAGGAAGGAGCCATTGGTCCTTTCCATCTGCGCGAGCCTGAAAGGCAGGAGAGACCACGACTCTCAGAGAATGTGCTGCACAGTTTAAACAGAGGCACTGTGAAGATCAATCTCACTTAGAAACAGCTCAGATATGGCAATCTTGGTATATGTAAACAGGAATAGATTTTGTGACAAAAACCTATAATCCAGAGGACTTTTATGAGAAACTTGTGCTATGATTAACTAATTCTACTTGCCAAGCAACAACGAACAAGTTTATTTTCTATCTCTAGTATAATTATCATTAGCACCACCACAACTCTCATGGTAAAATTAGTTAAAGAGATGTTTTCGCAGATGGTTTTCTTTTTGAATTTTATAAAGCTAGACTAACAAAAGAGGATGAATACTTTTTAAATATAGCACATGGAACATCTGAAATTATGCTTGGCAAATAACATCACACTGTGGACAGACAAGTCCTGGAAAACAACACAAAAAACTGTAATTACAGGGAGTCATGGCCTGTAGTTCTCATTTGGAAGGAATTAATCTAAAAGGACGAGATTATTATACTGTACATAAGGTCATACCACTCTGAAATCACAGCAGAAATTTTCTGTCTATTCAAATTTCTAGGAAAGATGTACCTTATCTATGTAAGACACAGACACAAAAATCTAGAAATGCTCAATGCTGTGAACATAACCTGGACTGCACCAAATACAGATATTTCCTTATATAAAGGAGGATAAACAAAAGCACACACAGGACAAAGTTGTCTTGATTGCCTCATCCCACCATGGCTGGAGTGGGATGTTGTGCTCCAACACCACCTCTGAAGGGAAGGACAAGCTCCTAAGTGACTAGGGACATTCAGATCATCTCTTTTCCAGGGCATCTCAAACAGATGTAGTTCATAATGAGTAACAAGAGTGAGGTAGATGCCTACAAGTCCGCTTTGTAATTCTGCTTAGCCTGCCCTGTATCTCTTAGGGAGTAATAGATATCCTGTCTCACAAATGCAGACTCTACCATTATCACCACGTTTTCCACCTCCATCATTTAGTGAGGATTTGCTTGGAACAGCACGTGGAGCCAGGAGACAGCCCTGATCATGGAGCAGAGGGAGACAGGGAAGGGACTCTGAGTTGCAAAGAGCCTTCAAGGCAGGATACAAACTGAAAGCTGAGAAAGGGAATTATTAGAAACTCAGAGGTGACACAGCACAACAGAACAGGGGGAGAGTACTTGATTGCAGGGAGGGGACTTTGTGAACAAAAAAGTGAGAGTTGAACATTCTCCAGTCAGTGACAATAAAGGTTTCAAGCCCTAGTGTACTATTTCTGCTGGGCACAGTCTTATTAAGGAAGCCCTGGTAATATTTCTTGAAAGAAACTTAGCTGGAAAGATCAAGACAATAAAAAATATTTACCAGTTTATATGTGAAATATGCATAATAACAGATCCAGCTAGAAAGCTCACAATAAAAATTATATGAAAGCTACAGACGGAGTTATGTCTTAATTTTTTTTACTTTATTCCTAGAGGGCAAAAACTTCTTGAATAACTGTAGATAGTTAACTTACATAGTAACTAGTATTCTTTAAGTTTGTGATTTTGCTAACCAACTTCTGCACAGAGCAGGTACAGATTTATCTCTGTAAACTGAAAGAGATACACAGTCCACCTTCAGCAAGTCTAATCCAGAGCAGAACTGGTAAGAGCTGAGGGGGAGGAGAGGGGAAACAGGTATTGCACCTGGGATCTCCCCTGATCTTTAACACGGATCCAGAGTTTTCGCTTCATCTGGGCACAGAAAGCCACAGCATTCTGGCACCACAAGCTGAAAAAAGGTCAGGGAGAGATGAAATTCTCACATCTTTCTAGAGAAATCCAATTTATTTGCTTTTGCCTAATTTGTAGTCCTGCCCACGGGTTTTATTTATTTTATTTTAAAATTAAATTAATTTTATTTGAAAATTTGTAATCAAATTGTATTTGATTACAGAATGACCTAAGTTATATATCCAAAGAAATGTCGGGTGATTTCTATGAGTAATTGAATTAATTACTAAATTAATAATTATTTATCAATTAATAGTAGAATTAATTGAATTTTCCAAATAATTGAAAAGCACTACAACTTTGCTTTTGACAATGTACTATGCTACTTATGAAGGACGAAAATATTCACTGCTGAGGAAAAAAAAAAAAAAAAAAAAAAAACGGGGAGGCTCACAGGAAGTAGCTACCCTCCAGGGTTAGTTTCTGCTTCATTTTTCCCCTGCCTAAAGATCATTTTTGGGTATCCTAGGTATTTATCAAACTGTTTTGAAGCTTCTTACGGTGCCCATAAGTAAGAATTCAGTTATCTTACACATAAGCTCTGAATTTTTTTTATTCAAAAAGCTGAAAAAGTCAACATTGTTTCTTAGTTGTGGAGATCAGATACAACAGTAAAAACACCAAAAAGCAAAACCAAGTCACTTCCCATGGGAATATGGATCAATTTCTTTGTTGCCTAAAAGTTGGGTATTGTTACTTGTTTTTGGGAATGTACCTCTGGTTAGTGCTTCACCACCCCCAGCTCTGCATGTACAGAGGAGAGTTCAACAAAACGCGGAAGCACTGAGATGGACTTGTCAGAATAGACATCATGAAAGGACTACGGTGACCCCATAAAAGCCAGAACACAAAACATTCGTGATTATTATATGCTCTTCTAAAAGTCAATGGTAATGGATAGTGCCAGCCTCTCAGAAGAAAAAGAAAACCTGGGTCTAAATCCTACAAGGCAAAATTACATCTCCAACAAGTTCAGTTTATTTCCAAAGGTTAAAAGAGAAGAAGCAAAAAGAAACCAGCACGTTTTAGAAATAACGCACAGCAATTCTGCAAGTTTCCATTCTGTGTGTCAGACAGCAGATTTAATGCATCTACTTTACATTTAATGTGACTATATTCAGAAGCTGATGATTTAAAAACATTTGACTTACTTCTGAGTACAGAGAATTATATCTTTTCAATAAATAATGTCCAGCCAGAGTATATTAAAACCTGCAGGAATCAAATCACCAAATGCAGTGTACTGGTGAGAAATTGCGCATCTCTTACCTAGTAGCATACTGCTCTATCCTGGAGTGTGTGTCATCATGAAACAGCTGTGGAGACTGGGAAGGACTATTTAAAAAAAAAATAAAAAAATTAGTGGTGTCTAAAGCAATTCATGATACAGACAACATTATTTTAAAAGCAAGTTAGACTGATGACAAATAAATAAATTCACAATATTGCTGAGGGGATTATTGCTTTGTGTCAGCCCTGCCCTGTAGCGCATGCACATTGGATTAGCAGCAACTGAGCTAAAAGAAAACAACTACTGTACTAAACTTTTCAAACTTTCCAGTGCATACTCACTCATATTGCTCTGGCCACATACTGATGAGGGTGATAGGACTGTAAGGAAGACAAAAAAAAAAAGAGAAGAGAGAAAGAAGGAAAGAAACTATGAAACAAAACTTTAGTGCCATTTAAGCAATAGAAAGCTGAAGAAACAAAAATATTTTTAACCAGCAACCCACTCAGATTTTTTTGAATCAGCAACTATTGATACAGAAAAGAGACAGCAACAGATACTGCCGTGTATCACGGAGAGATAGGAGACTGACTCACATACTTCATTTTGTTAAATAAAAATCAATTTTTCAAAAAATACCACATCAGTGCTATTGATTGAACTGCAGTTCATAAACCACAATCAGTTCATTTAAATTCTACTCAAGCTTTGGACTTTCCTTTAAAATTAGCTAGAAAATATAATTACAAAAACATACTAAGGGGGGAAAAAAACCCACCACAACCACCACCAAAACCCTCAATAAATCAAAGTTACCAATGCTTATTTTCCTACTGCATAAAAATAATAAAAAGTAAATATTGCTTTGCATTTTGACACTTGAATAACTTTTTTTTTTTTTAATTTAAAGGAACGTATTATTGAGTTTTGCCACCTGCAGGGGAGAGAACCAATACCAAGAGTTTCCTCAGCATGATGCTGGCAATTTATCTGTATATTTCCCACATGGCTGGACCAGGAGAGTTTTATCCTTACAGTTTTGACATTCCAATTTCTGGCACCATTGGCAAACTTTCATCACATCAAATCAGTTTCACTTTCCTGTGTTGATGATGGGTTTGTTTGGTTTTTTTTAAATACAGACCACCTGAAGACTGCCCTGGTGAGTAACTTTTCAACATTTGACTGTACATTGCTTCCTGAGAAGCCAGGCCATCAATATCGCCAGTTCTTTAATTACTTCCTCGTTTCTTAAACCGCTAATAAGCAGGTTTTGTTTGTTTATGGCAAGTAAAATGCACAGTCCTCTGGTCATGAAAACAGTGCATGGACAATGGCCCCGGACTGTTGCACACACGCAGAGAATATACCGTTGAAGCTTCCCATTCGCTGCAGCTGGCTAAGCCATGCTGTGTTCGGACGATACAGTAGTACCGCAGACTCCAGGATGCCAAGGAGAGTCAATCCATGAAAATACTTCTAATGCCCTGTCAACACATCTTAATTTTGCTCTTTTAAGAGTGTCCTTTGCTGACAACTACCACGTAAATAAAGTGGAGCATTTCTGCCAGCACCGTAAGTAGTGCTGTGGAGACACCGAGTGTGGTCTCTTTTACCAGGCCACCTTATTTCTGAAGCCTGTAGTAGGAACCTAATTAGCTCAGAGGTTTTTAACTCCAGGGGCTTCAAGATAACCAAATAAGCAGTGCAGTTCCAAAAGCCCAGTCTCCCCAAAGCTATAAAGTGTTCTCTGTAAAACAACCATTTGGTCCCCTCCAGCATTAACCTGCTAAAGTCCATGGCTTTATGGTAAAATCCTTACAAAAACCAAACTATAAAATATGTTGCCTTTTTTTTCAAAAACAGGCAAGATCTGCAAATAATGTGAAATAGTTCATAGAAAGTAATACAGGAAAAGGCTCTATAACTGCTGTCAATTGTTTCTTGGGTTTCACTTTTTTGTTTTTCATGGAATAGGCCAGTGATCCCAGGAGCAATTACTCTATAATCAAGCTTACGTCTCCAGGTTGTCACCCTCCAATACTGTTTGCACAGGTAAGTAGCCAAGTCGGGGATGCTTTGCAAAATACTTCTTTGACCGGAACTTATTCTTCAGCACCTTTGTGAAGTCCCGTACGTCTTCCCCAGATGTTGTCTTAAAAAGTTAAAAGAGATTAAATTGAACATTGATAAAAAGCATTAAGATAACAGTGCTGCTACTGTCCTGAAAAAATATACAAGGAAGAACTTCAAAATGTTAATAATGTTAAAATTGCCTTTTTTTTTTAGTGTCCTGAAATATGGTACAATAGTAATGGCAATGAATCTACAAACTATCTTTTGTTAGAAAAAAAAAAGCAAGGTTTCAAACTCAGCAATCTATCCACTGGATTTAGCAACTACTTTATAAATTAGAGGAAAAAGGAAACAGGTTCAAGTCTTAAGCTAAACATTTATAACTGGTCCTACAAAGCGCAAAAATTTAATCTTTCAGAAAAAAATGGCAAATCAGTTTGCCAGATATAAGGGGATACTCTTAGCCACTGGAAGCAATCTTGACAATACACATGAAGCTTGTGACCCACCCCACAGACAGAAAAACTGTTTAATGGCTCTGCTGAAAATATACAGCTAACAGTAATGGCTTTTTTTTTTTTTAAAAAAAAGCTAACACAGCCCTCCACATTCACAAAGTGCCACAAAATACTCACTGCCTCTCATTCTATACCTAGACAACTTTATCACGAGATGGGAGCAGTTCATGTTAAGTTGTTCTCTGCTGCAACGGTCAAGCTTTTCATGAGCATTTTCTCAAATTGCCAGATCTCTTCCTACAGGTTTCTGCCACTCTCTGTATCATTCCAGAGTCAAAAAAAACCCCCGCAGACATGTGACAGCTTTTGTACAGGCACTGTTCAAAGGCACAGTCAGACGCCAGCCTGACAAGCACAATCAGTGTCCAAAGTAACAAATTCAGACTGATTCAGTCACTTCCTTCCTACCACAGGATAATACTGGTACAAAAGTTAGCCACAAGATTCTGCACGTCTAAATTTACAAGTTACAATCTGCAGCTCCCTCGCCCTGACATTAGCTTTTTTACTGGTCCCCACTGATGCAGCCTCTTCCAGAACCGACGAGCGCTTAGCCCCATCCCCCAACCCCACAGGAAATCAATTCTGTTCTTTAGAACAGAATTAAAATTGATTCAATTGCTTTTAAAAACCAACTTAACTGGCAATAATCACAGCAATAATGGCAACACTGCTTTGGTGATACAAAAGCAGGGATACAAATAAAACATACAGGCATAAAATACAAGGTGAAAATGGTAATAAAGAGATCTGCAGGACGAAACAATAGTATATGGTATGCCTTGAAAGTATATGTGCTCACAGACTGTACTGAGTACTTAAACAGAATGATCCCCATCCTATGTAAGCATTTCCTCTTGTAGCTGCAGTAAAGAAAAAGTTGCCATTCACCTCCTGCGTTAGCTGAAGATTTATAATGGCTTCTACAGATTTCCAGCCCAAACCCTGTAACAAACTACTACTTCTGTACCCTCTGCTTTGGGAGAAGCCTGTTAACATAAAAGGATGCCAAAGCGGATGGATATTTATAGGGAAAACAGAGTGAAAGATTTTTTGTTTTTGTAAATGTGCCACATCTGTGACGTTTGCACTGTGTAACACCGTGAAGACTACCCTTCTGGGACCACTTTCAACAAGGGGCATTTCATAGCAATTGCTCACCAAGAGGAGAAACTGATCATAGATTGTGTGTGTATTTGAGTTTAGTCCAACGAAATCAAGCTGTAATTTCAAGAGAAACTAAGCTACCTCAGAATTTAACAAAGTTGCAAAAAGGTAACTGATAAGCCAGCTATCAGAGAAACTGTAAGATTAAGACCTAGAGGAAAGCACGTCACCCAGCTGCTAAGTATCAAAGACTACCCTGACCAGATCGCTATTCTTCTGAAGGCAAAGAGTAATCTTTGAATTCCACAGCTGGAAGCAATGTTCTGCATGCGAAATAGCCAGATTCAACCATTCTCGCTGCTTGCTTTCACCTTCACCACCAAACAAACCTATTCTGAGAACAGTGAAGCATCACGCTTGGTGCACTGGTAAGCATGTCAAGATGCAACCACTGACTGACTTATGTCAGTTTGTTGCTTATAAAACACTGAGGCTGCTTAATGTTCAGGAATGTACCTTCCTTCTCTGGATGTCAGCAGCAATTACATTTTCAGACGACTTACCCAGAGGAGAAGCCTTAACAGGCACTGCTGCAGATAAGCTTTATCATCTCTGGAAAAAATCTTCAGTCTAGGGTGAACTATCATTCAACCAATAGTTTCTGATGTCTCGCCTATCATGTTCTGACCTCTTTCACGGAAATAAAATTCTGGTCATCCGGAAGATGAAGGGGCTAACTGCTGCTTGCCATTGTTTTGTACAGAAAGATGACAAAAAAAAAAAAAAAAAAAAATTCCCAAAATAAGGGGCTGTGCCTGGTGAGTGTAGTGGCACAGAACTACAAAAATTGATTATGCTTTCACTGAGGTCAGGAAGTAACACTACTTGCAATGAGAAAATTTTCAGAACTGCTGATCTGATGTTTTTACATTACTTCAGAAAAGCTGCTTTTAAGGTTTTACTGTGGAATATAGGAGTTGCAAAATGGAAAAAGTTTGGAGAAAGGAAAATGATGTGGTAACTATTTCCATCTGAAATCCAAACAACCCATTGGTACAGAAAGTCACATTCATATAACACAAGTACCACAACAGAGCATTTCCATTCCAAAAGAGCTAAAAATAAATCATAAAATAATTATACTTATAATTAAATAAATAATCTTTCAAAATTTTTACACATCTCTGTGTAAAATTCTACATTAAAAATCTATCTTTTCAGAGAAAGACTATTTAAAGGGGAAAAATAACTACAATAACCTTGCATTTATTCTACTTAGAGACAGTAATGTTTTCAGTTCCTTACCCCATCCATCGCTAAGTCCTGAATGAAACAAAAAAGACATAACCAAAGCCATTATCATTAATTTTTGCATTTCCAGCATCAAGAATACTATATTCCAAGCTAGGGTGAACGCTAAGTGGCATTACAGATTCGGTTTTAATGACTTACACACAACTTTCTGGTATAAGCAGCCCTATTCTGAAATTATGAAGCAATTGTCACCCGATGCAAATATCATGAAACTCATTAAAATTGAAAAATCATCTCCTTGCAAATTTACTTTTAAAAACAGACTCCTTAAGCCATTCTCCAAATGATTTTAAATTTAAGTAGAAGTAACTGACCTTCTGTGAAACCCCTTCGAACCCTGGACTGAACAAAAAACCTGAAGACAATTAAAAGGTCTTCCTTCCATCTGCAACTAAGCTCCAGTTCTAAATGTCAGATTTATTGACCAGGGAAGGTTTTTTTTTTTTTTTTTCTATTTATTGCTACTATTCTTGATATTAATCCATTTATACACATTAACAGTAAGAAAGAGAAGCTAGATTTTATAAAGGCAGCTTGATGAATACAGGTATTTGTACTCAGCTTTGCAACACAGGCCACAAAAAAGACATTTTAACATCAACAGCCTTTGAATTGGGTTGAAAAGGTAGAGTAGATGCACTCTTCCTATTCAGGCTATCTGTACTGTAATATAATGGATTCTAAGGAATGATTCATTGGCCTTTGGTACCTTCTTTTATTTATATTTTTTTTTCTTTCATAGACCCAGCTCTATGCTATTTTTCAGGCATTATTCCATTTAAAAATACAAGTTATTTTATAACTTCCTGTAAGGAATTTTGTGATTCTTGACTATTATATTGCATTAAATGAGTTCAATACGCAGAGAGGTTTAGCAATAAATTAGTACACCAACCACAGTGCATTATTACAAATAGTAACACAAAATAACACCGGATTCTTTTTGTGCAATCAGTTCTTTATTCCTGACCTAATTCAGATGAGACCAGTTAAAATGGATTGCATGTAGGTACTGATTATTGAAGTCAAATAGGAATAAGAAGCCTGTCCATCTAATGGCTCATTTCTTTTTACTGAAATGGAGCTAGCAGAGTGTACTTAAAGCAGGACCCAAGAAAAATTCCAACTCCATTATTAAGCTTCCAGACTAGTGGCAGTCAGTGCTGGACCTCTAATTTTGTGTGTCACCTAAATTTTATGTCATCTCTTTTATTCTGCTCTACTTTAAACTGCCCCATTTTCCTTCCTTTACCTCTTACACACTTCACTCATTTCAATCAAGAATGTCATCTTATTCCCCTTATCATCATCCCACACTGGATTCACCTCATTCCTCCCACATTTCACGGGAAGAAGGGACTTTTGACTTAGCTTACCTTATTTTGCACTTAATATTGTTTTAAAACTATATTCTTTTTGCAGTGGAAACAGTAATCTTCATTCTAATACAAGGTGTCCCTAGTCCCCAGGACACTGGGGATTCCAGCCTTTTCCAGAATATATTTTTCTGTATGACAGTCTTTACTTGTAAATGAAATGGCTCGCAGTTATACAATGTAAACACATTTAACAAGAACTGAAAACTTCTCTCAAATATCAAATCTGCTGCTTCAGACAAACCCCAGAAGTCATCAGAAATGCACCATCCTCTTCCAGAGACAGTACCATACCCCATATCAGATGTAATCAGTATTTGACTAATGCAACAGGAAGGGTTAACTTCTTAGTTTTCTGCATATTATAGGTGCTAACAAAGAACATTTCTGTTTCACGACCATGATATAAACTAAAGATGAGGTTTGAGAGAACTTTATAAGGAATAAAAAAAGTGAATCTAAGAAAAATACATCTCCAACATGTTCAGATAGTTTGGGTTACATTGGCTAAGGAGGCAAGTAAGCAATCACTATCACCGTATTTTTAATGATGTCTAATAAAGGAAGGAAAACACCATAGACTTCTGGATCCTGAGAGTTAGAACAATCATGTGAGTATGGGCAAAACTGGGCCTATGTTATACCATGAAAACAGTATAAAACAAAACCAAAAAAGTGACCTAGCTGTGTGAAAAAATATCTTTAAAAGGAATTAAAACTTAACTCAAACCAATTTTAAACATTACAGATTCTAAGGACAAATAGTAGGATTCAGAAAACCACTGAACTTTTTCCTATCAGGTAGTTCTATAATTTAATCCCATAGCTGCTAATGTATTAAGGCTTCTTATTATTTTATATTCTTGGGCAAATAAGAATATAAAATATTAGCATAGGTTTTGCTATACCTTGAAATCTGACATCTAATCATGCTCAGATCACTGACCTGCAGAGTCTGGCCTAAATCCTGACCTGATATCAGTTTTATATAGAGCCCCCAGCTGCAGCTAGGGTTTATTTTACAAGGAGGTAAAATAAGAGGCAGAAAGAAAAAACTGGTGACAGAATATAACAAACACTAGAACTGTCTGAAAAACAACAAATCTATTTCAAAAAAATTTCTTCAGAATGTAGCCTGTCATACTAATTTACCAACCAAATCCCAACATTAGGTTATAATATTAATGTAAATCATTTAACATAACTCGTGATTTCTTCTGATCATAATGAAGTGAAAACACAACTTAATGGAATTTGAATTCTGTTATGGGAGACACACTGGAGGAAAGAGAGTGGGAAAACACAGGTAACAACCCCTACTACTGCAGCAAAAGGCAGTCCAATAAACTCAATGATCTTTTTGCTAACAGAAGAACCTTGTAACACTAGTGGAAATCAGCTCCAGTTACATTCTGGTCTGAATTTGCTTTTCTGAGCATATAGACTTTCACCACTGTTGTTTAAATTACCAATTATCCTATTAACTTATTTGTGACAGAGTTAAAATTCCTAAGAATGCAAACAACTATGAAACAAAAAACAGTGCAAGTGGTATTTTTATGAAGGAAGTTACCCACTTCTCCTCTTAAAGTCTCCTAGAAACTTCCCTAGAAAAATAATGTTTGAAATTTCATTAAGAAAATATTGTATTGCAAAATTATTTTTTTTAGGTATTGCGGGCAAACCTCACACCACCTTTGGTTAGAAACTGTCAACTCTATTTTTTTTTTTTTCCAGCTACACACCAATTTTTAAATATCCCAGTAAACAGTAATTACTCAGGGGAACAAAACACAACATATTTACAACCATGTGAAATACTAGGGCCTGAGCAGTGAGGCCCTGAACCAAAGCTGACCTCTAGATGAATCTCACAACCTAACAATATAGCTAACACGTATAATATTGATCACATATGCAATGTATTACCTTATTAATATACACCAGTAGTTTATAAAAGTTTTGTAATGCTTATAGAGCATTGCTGTAACACTTGCTGTGTAAGGTTAGCCAGCACAAAGACACTAATTACCTAACAGTAGCCAAAATTAAGCACAGATGTGCCCTGTCACCACAGATGGCAAAGGAATGTGGCAAGTCGTGACAAGCTTTGTTGAGAGAGACATAATCAAGATTAGTAGATTCTTTTGATCTTGTTATCTCTCCTCTTGTCCCCGGCCAGGCTAGAGACAAAAGTTAACAAGGAGAAAACCACACCAGATGTTTTTCGCAGTTTAAGATAGAAAGTTGTTTATTCAACTGTATAAAAGCAGGGACTGTTTGCAGGGAAAACTGGAAGCCTCATCTATCCAGTGGATGCACCTATAGAGATTTCCCAATTGCCGGGAAGGGCTCTCCAAATCCTTCGCTGCAACTGGGCTCCCCAGCGACTGCAGATCTGGATGATAGTAATGTATTAATAGGGCAATTGGTGATGGATCTTAATCACTATCGCTAACTCTACGGAGTAATGATTAGGTGTATCACCTTACTTTCTGCTTGCTATAGTAGTTTGCTTATTATTTTGCTGCTTTACCTTATCTTGCTTTATTTTCATTGTATTATTTTTCTCATTATTTTATCACTTTAAGCATAAGTAAAAATAAGGTTTTTTTTTTTTTAAATTTGGTGCCTGTGTCCTTTGTGCTAACCCCGTCAATTGGCGAAACACCATGTTTTTGTGAAGCAAGCAAAATGTTGGACCTGAAGGGAACTATTATGCGCCTCTAAAAACATTAAAGTGCATTACGAGAATATTATAGGTTGCTTACTATGGTATAGCAGTAGTAAAGGGAGTCCTTTTCCTCTGACATGTTCTCACCTTTACAGTGTGTGTGGGCATGTGCAAGTATACCAGTACTGCAATTGTATTTAATATTCCAGCTCTGTTTTTACAAAACAAAAGTGAAGTTCAAGTTCTCTCGGAATTTAGTACCTCCACCCATTTATACAGCACCCAAACACTACCCACATAAAATCAGCAGCATGAGCAACTGGGAACGGTCGGTAAATTGGTACTCACAGGTATACAATACTCCACCATTGGGTAATGCAATTTATGCCCCTTTGCTGTGCGGCCAGAAAAGAAACAGCTCTGACAAACGTCGTAGTTGAAATGTTTTAGGCTCCGGTACCTACAGGGACATTAAACAAAGCGATTAGAATTTCCTAGGTTTAGTTCTAAGAGTTACTTGTTACTACGCCTCACAAGGCAAATTATTCTCTGAAATGGTGTCAGCAGCAGCAACACAAGAAGTTTGTGGGGAGTTTGTTTGTGAGTTTGTTGGGATTAGCTTAGAAAGCATCTTGAAGCGTGCAGGTGTGCACGGGCAGGACATGGCACAGCCAGCACTCGTCACGGCTGCAGACCCAGGGGCACTGTGCCACCGCAGCACCCGCACAGGACACAGGAAACCTGCAGCCCTTTTAGTCCACTTCCTACACTGCACAGATCAACTCATTCGGTATTTAAAAGAAATCCCTGCCTCCTATAGCCATATAGAAAGCCAACATCAATCATCTGTTGCCCAAGTTGCTTTGAAGCAGAAAATACTACAGGCATCAACTTCATGGATAGCGTGTGAAGAGTTTATAATTTTGAAGTTCAAACTGACTTAAAATTACATTGCTTTAGCTTTTCTTTTCCTCTAGTATTCAGATACTAGCTCAGAAAAAAAACATTTATAAACCAGACTGGTTTACTTTACCAGTTAGCTTAAATGTTTTTACATCATTTTGATGCTCAGCGAGTCTAAACACATTTCAGAAAATAAAACTCTTGAGAATTCATTAGTTATAAAAATCATATAAGATTACGTTCAAAAATTACATTGATTTATTTATTTTTGGGTTTTTTAAGAGCATGTATGTGTATAAATACAGTAACAAACTTATACAGTATTCCTTGCATTAAATGTAGCCACCAGGAGGATGATAGTTTTGTTTCGTGTGTGTTTGTTTTTCCTAAAACTGACTAAAGCAACATTTCAATTCCAGATTCTGCCCACTGTTGTTGTTGGTTTTTTTGTTTGTTTTTTGGTTTGGTTTTTTTTTTTAGTATGGTTGTTCTGACTGGATGAAGTTATATCACTTATATGAAACCAAAATGAGCTAACTGAACCAAATTGAATAGCTACTGAATAGTTAAAATTCAAATTAAATTGCTTCCTGAGAGCAGTTTTCAATATCAATCCACATTTTGCCCCTGCTGAGTTTTATGTGTTGTTTGCAAGACAATATGTGTCTATAAATGTAAAGATTCACTTTTAAGGATGCTGATTCAAATGTTTATGAACTTTACTCAGAGCCTGTGTATTAAATGGCCACATCTACCTTCTGCTAAGATGCTACATGCTTTTGTTGTTGCAGATCTCTAGCCTCATTGCAGAAATTTTTCAGAATGAGCCATTCTTTTGTCTTCTGTTCTCTTCTATCTCTATGCCCTTCCTCTCTACACAAAATATTGCAGTACAGACAAGTTTCATCAGGCCCAAGTAGGCATCTAAAAGATGTCTGAGCTGGAGCTTTGTCACTGTACGCTCCTTCAATCATTAATGGAGAAAAATAGGACCATTCAGAGGAATTTAATATCCTCTTACGACAGGCAACAAAGCTTGATCAGATTAATTACTTTTGGAAGTACTCACATAGAACCATGGAATGGTTTGAGTTGGAAGGGACCTTAGAGATCATCAAGTTCCAACCCCCCTGCCATGGGCAGGGACACCTCCCACTAGCCCAGGTTGCTCAAAGCCTCATCCAGCCTGGCCTTGAACCCCTCCAGGGATGGGGCATCCACAGCTTCTCTGGGCAACCTGTTCCAGTGCCTCACCACCATCACAGGAAATAATTTCATCTTAAGCTGAATCTTATAAGACTGAGTAAAGCCAGCATATGTAAAGCTAGATGAGATAAACCTGACCCCAGAATTCATATTATTATCCTTTAAAAGAACAGAAAGGAGGAGAAACAGAAAGCGTGGGGTACAAAAATTACTCATCTGGGTAGATACCTAAAGAAAGGTCTTAGAATCACTTAAAAAGAAAGACTGCTTTATATCGTTCCTAAATAACACACTCAACTCCATGACCACAGCAGAGTAAAAAGCCAGTTAGGTTTAGCTCTAGTCCCTACCTTTTTTTTTCCCCCCCTCATAATTTTATACACTGGAGTAACCAATTAACAAATGCATGTTAGTTGTAACAGTACTTGCTATGAGTATCATCTATCTCATGCCCCATGATGCTAATTCACAGTAAAATCACATGGTTTAGGAGGATAATATGGAGAATAACCCCGGCGTCATTCATATTTTCTTTTAGAATTCACAGCTTCCTTTGAACAGACAAAAGTTAGATTACATTCAGTGCTGGAGACAAGAACTGTCCAAGTCGCATCCCAGTAACACGCTAAGCAAGGGAGGGTTGCTGCTGAAGGGTGTTTAATATTGCTCGGCAGGAGTTACTTTCCCAAGCCTTACGCAGGAGAGCAGACAGCCAGCCCACATTTTTTCTTACTGATCACCTCCTTTTGGTCTTGTGCTTAGAGAACACACGGAGTGCATTTATACCTCAATTTATTATCTATTGGATCCACCAATGCCAAAACACGCGATGAGAGCCCACCCTGCCCGCCTGTCAGCCATAGGACCATTGGGTGTCTACCAGTGGTACTGCAGGAGCCAGAAACACACCGGCTCTGGCCACACTGTAGCCCCACCATGGCTGGCAAATCCCATCTTAAAGCAGGAAACCAGTGGAAAAACAAACAGAAAGAACTGTATGTGTCGGAAGATGTAAAAGAGTGGATATTTTCAGAGAAACCTTGCACCCACCTCCCCTCCTCTTACCTAAAGCCAACAATTGGACACTCTTTACAGATGTTGCACTTGGCCTGATGTTTCGCTGTTTCTGCAGCTGCCACCCGGTGTAGTACTGGTAGCCATACCATAGACTGTGGCTCTAAGCGCATCCAATCTATAAATTGCTTTACAGTTATTTCTGGCTTATTGTGGTTCTGTGGAGAGAAAAAAAAAATAAATAAACCTCATCCAAATTAAAAAACAAAATGAAACAAACAACACGGACACAAGCAGATTTTCCTTAGAATTAAAGTAAAAAAAAATAATAACTTGTGTCAATCCTTTTCATGACAGGTTAATGTAAAACCAGTTACAGGATACAAGAAACAACCTTGATTAAAATGCAAATAAAGAAAACGAGTTAGTCAGTAAGAATACGGAGGACTGAACAGCTGTGGTGACAGATGGTAACGAAGATGGAGTACATAGTGAAGGTCTAATGGATTCCATAGCAAAGCCATCTTTGAACTGAAAGGACTTGAGAAAGAAGTAGGGGAGCATGAAAGAGAAGCACGTTCTGAAGTTCACATATGCTAAAGACATGGTTGTCTTTTGAATTAATATCGATGTCAGACTGCTAAAAATCCATAGTGCTTGCATGTATCTACTAATTCCCATGAGACTCATGCAAATTTTTTTATCGTACTCTGAGCCCAGGGTATTCTTTCAAGTTAGCACACTACACAAACAGGTTTATAATAAATAAATTAATTAATTTACCTGTTAAATAAACAGGCAAATAAATAAATAATGAAAGAAATCTGGCACTTACAGACAATCACTACAAGGATGTAGCAGAGCTAAAGTATTACTAACATTGCTTTAGGAAGCAAACATGCTTCCACACTCTAAGTTGCAACCATCGGAGGAGCCTAGCTGTAAAGGTATCCTATTCATCAACTTTGACAGCATTAAGAACATAGGTCACTTCTCTGAGCTCACTGGAAGTAATAGAACACAACTTAAAATGAAAGTTATTCTTAAATTGTAAGACAAGAAGAGAAGCAACACTAGGTTTTCTGCCAGTAAGAGGGAGCAGCATGAAAAAAAGAATAACATGCTTTCACTACCTGCAAAATACTTGTTTTCACTAAACTGAGATAACCCTGTCACGCAGCTGCACGCTTTCTCTATGCTCTCTTCATGACCAGGGACTGAACTTGAGCTATTCATGTGAGACAAGGGATATAACCTTGATCAGCACATCAAGTCTTTAAACACCACCTTGCTAGTAACCCTGGGAGATGGGGCAGATCCTTGAGGGACATCAAGATCATTCCTCTGTGACAGAAAAAGTCTGCCATTAACAAATGAATAATTTCTTTCAGTATGACTTGAACCACTCAAGGCCAGTGACAGATATGGGAAGCACCACCTCATAGTCTGAAGCAGAAATGTTAAAACCTCAGGGGAAGGTTTACATGGTTAATTGGCCAAAGCAACTTCTGTAAGTATCTACCAAATTATTAATGATCTGGACAAACACACTTCCAATTCCAATCACCTCAGAGTCCAGAAATGAATCTAATAGTTCTGAAAAAACTAGCGCAACTGAATTTGTCCAAGCACTGATGAAAACGTAGAAATGTCTATGGAAGAATGGCAAAAGAAAAATGCTTTAAAAGTTCACTATAACATTTAATGTTTGATTCAATAAAATCAGAAATATTAAAGTCAGTAGTTTTATATATGCCATAGTGACTTTTTAACCGGTATGTAACTTCGGACAATGCTCAGAGCAGTCACTTTCACAGAAATAATACACTCAAGCAGTTTAGTTTTTACTAGCAAACAGTTAGAGCCTTAAGAATCCTTGACAAAGTTTGAGCTAGGTTGTATTCCATTAGGACATCCTCTTTTTAATTCTCATCTTCTTTAAACAGACAGACACTCCTTGCAGCCTCATTAACCCCCTGCATGGAGCGCGGAGCTGAACAGCAGGCTGTAAGACAGCTTTATTCCGAGTTCTGATCTGCTGCAAAAAGGCTCACGATACATAAATTACTATGCTTGAAGTTTTGTGCAACTGCAAGCTCTTTTGTCAGTAAAATAACACTAATTTCCTGATGCACAAGGTCAAAAATTACTATCAACAACATTCCCATTGCTCATCTCCTTGTTCTATTGAGACAATGTCTCGTTCCAGCAGGGGAAAGCACGTTCGCACAGTATTGGGTTGCTTTGAACGATAAAAAGCAGGAAAATTGGCTGCTATAAAATTTTTAACAGCTTTTAGAGCAACCAATATTGTCAAAACCACAAAGATTTATATATTCTTTTTGCTAAAAAGTAATTTGTTTGATCTTTTCCTAAACCATAAACCACCTTTTACAGCTGCATTTTCACAGTAAGTTCCCACATTTAGTTGCAGGAGCACATTCATTTCTGTTCAAAAACTCAATGGATGTTTTAAAATTCCCCTCTTCTTTTTACACTACGTAAAAGTGAATCTTAACACTTCACAGAGAGGTTTTTTTTCCACGTGAAGGTCTTTGTTACCTCACCTGCTGGAAGCAGCTGCGCACGCTGGGTTCAATGTTGCTGCCACCAAAGGCTGCCACTTCCCCAAGCTGCCGCGGGATCTGGATAGCATCGTGAAGCAGCAGCCCCAGCTGCCTCTGGTCACACATTTCTGTGGGGCCTGCCACCTCCTTGAAGAGATCTGCAACACCAACAAGAGGCACAAACTCATTTCATTTCCATGTACGCCCCCTTTTATTTGCCAACACTGCAGCTTGAGCTTTGTAATTTTTTTGTGAAGATCTGATTACAGATGGCCACCGTCCTATTTACAACAGTTTACCCTCATCTGATCTTGATTACTTGGACTACGTTTGCTCAATCCATACCCATACAAATGAAAAAAGGCCAAATGAATAGAACTATACAGCTTCTCATGGCATCTCTTGATAAAACTGTAAATTGCAGCTCCTGTTTTACCTAGGGAACATCCATGTGACATAACAAAAGAGACATCACAAAATCAGAACAGCTTTTTGTTCTAATCCATCATTACCACATTGCCCCTCCCCGCCCCCCCAATATTTACTATGTTTTCTATGTTATCACTAGGGAAGAAGGAAATAATATTTCAGAAATCTGTACCTTATGCTAATGTCTATGCCATCCTTCAGTTAGTTGGGGAATGAAGCACGTTTGCTGTGAACTGAGACTAAAAATCAGCACAAGTCACAGCTGGCCATGTGAAATAGCTTAGAGCAAGAGCAGCAGCCAGGAAGACAACTCAAGATGAACTTTAATCACATTTGCTTCCTGGATAACCACCTCTGTTTCCATGTACTTTCACTTTACTGATTCCCTTTTCCTACCGTAGGCATCAAGCCCTGCAGTATAAGTGGATGTTTTGGGAAGACTGTAACGACAGAAAAAATTGAGGCTGAAAGGGATCAAGAAAATTTTTCCAGATACAGGCACTTACTGGGAAGAAAGATATTGCTTGTAGCTACTTAAGAGTCACAGTAAAGCACTGAATTAATAGGGCTGTCTGCAGCATAGGTAATATTTCTTAAGTGCTTTCTTAGCACATTTCTTTGATAGGACATTTTTAATTGTTGAAACTTTCAGCTAAAATTTTTAGGTTGATACTGACAACAATCCGTCATTCATGAACTTTGCAGCCGTGTACATTAATATTTAGTCACAAGATTAATCTCTCCTGAAAATATCTCAAACACTGAGTTCATCTCAGAAATATTTTTAAATTTTGTGAATGGTATAAATTACAGAAGAAATGGAAGTGAATTCTTTCTGGAAATGTTCATTACAGTTGCCTTTTACCTTCCCCTTTTGCACTCAGTGGTTGACTTGGATAAAAGTTCCAAGTAATCTTAAAAAAAAATTCATTTATACTATTCCCCTACTTTTCATGTTTCCCACCAGAACAACCACTAATAGATTAGAAAGAAATGAAATTTGAAAATTCAGTCTGACTGCACTGTTGATTGAGAAACAGACATGCTTTGTTCAGAACACTCAAGAGAAACTCCTTTATTTCACTCTGTAAATTGCTTTGTGCTTCATTCAGAGCCATTGCCAAGCTTTGTCAGCATGCTTCTGAAAGTCTGGTCATACTTTTTTTCTTGGCAAAGGGGGTTGAGGCAAAAAACCAAGTTTTTCACAAAACAGAAATCCAGATGAGTGAATTAATTTTTAGAGTTTCTTGTATTTTTCTTGCCCCTTTCTTGCCTAGTTAAAGAAATGCTACAGCAGCTTCAGTGCTTAGTGGTGAGAAAAAACCCCCGCGGACAACGGTGGTGACAGAACTAGCACTGCAGGGCTGCAGGCATCCTGGCTAGCCAGAGGCTGCAGGCTTCTCCAGCTGCAGTTGGGATAGCTTTCCAGTTTCTAAGAGTCAGTTTAAAAAAAACTTGATAGTTAAAAAAAAATAAAAAGCTTGTTTTACTTTCTATTTGCATCGGAAACAGGTACTAAAAGAAGAACAACTCATTAACTGCTGTGGCTGGGAGGCAGAAGTAATTTCCCAAGCCCTAAACCTTCAGTTGATTGGGGAGCTAGTAAATAGAGGAAAACCAATGTGGCAGGAAAGGGAATAGGAAGAATCATCAGCTAGGGTTGATCCAGGTAGGAAATCAGCAAATGCCTTTGAAGCACTCAAACTCCTCCAAAATACTCCACTTAAAAAAACAAATAAAACTTTACACTGGCAGCTGTGCCATAACCGCTGAGTGTTTAAGTGCAAGGGAGTTCACGGATGGTACTCTCTTTCCCCAAAACCCTCCATGCCTTCAGTGGGACACACAGGAGAAGCAGCCCCTCAACTAAAGGCACGGAAAGCCAAAACGCTCTTGCTATCTGGCCAGCATTTTTAAAGTAACCCATGAGCTATTCCCTGGCAAAGGAGGCATGGCAAGAGCAACTCTCAAGGGGCAGATATACAGAAGGAGGACTTGTTTTAGGTCTGACAGGGTGCAGCCAAACACCATACCCACCAGTGGGAAAAGGGACCGTGTATGTCACCTACCAACAATGTCAGAAGCCACAAACTCTTATAAACGGAGTTCGTTAATATATACATACCTATTATATGAGTTTATACATAAAATACATTGATATAGAGCCTAAACTGTATAAGGAACTCTACCAAAAGGACAAGAAGAATGATTGGGGAAGCAAAAGAAAAGATTATTCAGATCTGAGCCAGAGGAGAAAAAAAACAGAAACAAGAAAAAAAAAATCAGCTAATTTTAAATTCAATTCACCAGTATTTTGAGAATGACAGCCAGTGGGACTCAAATTGCAGCTTAGCTGGACAACCTGAAAAAAAAATGTACTTACTGGCTGGTATAGAAGGGGATACTTGAAAATGTTGAAAAGCTTATTAAATTCCTACTAAAATGGTAATAAGGTAGTTAGCAGTGAAATGTCAACGAAACACATTAATGTCTTTTGCTGAAGTTGCCAAGACATCAAAAATTACAAATCTAGCACTGTCAAACCTGAACCATCCAAGCAGGTCCAAGGAATCTAGCGATAAATACTCCATAGTTACACCAAAATATAATTAAAAATATGCAAAATGGAAAAATGTGCCATCAGCTGATCATGTGTATGGTTACAAAAACAGGATGCATATTCTTTTTTCTTCCTTTTTTAAAGTATCAGTGTTAGCTCCAAATGTTTTGAAAATTAACATAAATGTAACATTTAAAAAGCACATTCCAAAGATGATGCATATAATTTGAAAACTGGGCTGCTTCAGAGTTGACATTTTTTCAGGTAGTCATCCTTTTTCACCTAAAAGCCTACAGTTTTTATGCATTAAATTATATGACCAAAAATCTACAAATCTACACACTAAATAAAACTCCATGCTTATTTTCTGTTTCTGCTGCCAGTCTGGGCTTTCTGTGTTAAAAATGAGCCCACGTAAGAGCAAAATGCATACAAATGCACTCCCAGCTATCACATAGTGCTATGACTCTTCTCTACCTCTAAAACTAAGAAAAGAAAGGGAAGATAAAATTCTTGCTGTCCCTCAGGAAGCCCATAATCTGAGACATCATTTGTCTCCTGATTGCATGACCAAGTATAAAATCTGCTGTGAATAATCACACACGCAAATCAAAATTTTTTTATGTTACAAATACTTGCTGATATGATTGAAACTTACCTTCCAAGAACATTTTTCCACCATATTTAGAAGTCAAATAATGTACGAACAGCTAGTGATAAAAAGGAGCGATATTTTGCTTATTGTATTCTGAGTATTTTGGAACTGAGCTAATACTGTCTTTTGTCATGTGCACCCTTTTTTTCTTTTATTGTCTATTTTTTAAGGCTACTTTTATACCCACAAACTGAGCAGTGCACCAGGGCGCAGGCCCAGGCACTGGAATACTGTCATCCATATCATTATGATGCTAAAAGTGCATCCATCGTGCTTTTGGATCAAGGTTGACGTAACTGCTTCTCCCAGAACAGTCAGGAACAATGTAAGAGCAAGGCAGGGTGTGGGACCATTTCCAATAGGTAGCTCATATGTGGCCCCCTGCTCTGTTTTGGGGAGTAAGCAGAGCATAACAAGGATACAGCCAGATCAGGTCATTCGCCTCACCACCAAAAAGAGGCCCTGAATTGTTTGTTCTACAAGGATAGATGTAAGCAGCTCACAGCGACTCAATTACATTTGCAGGTCCATTTTTATTCAGAGGATTATCCAGGTGTGTGCTTGAAGTTCAGCATGTCTTTAAACATCTTCAAGAACAGGCATTCTTTAATTGAGGCTTCAATTTTTCTCCTAAAGTAATTAGGACTTTTTAAATTAAAGATTCATTCTCACGTCAACCCTGAAGTCTAGCATCTTAAAAAGAAGCTTAATTAAAAAAAAAAAAAAATCACGGAAATTTCTCTGGCAAAGCATTTAAAAATGTGTCAAGTGAAAAGATCCTACCTATACTAGAAATGAAAGTACAGTTAGCAAAATTCCTATTTTTACTGGAAATGAATGTGATCAAAGCTGGCTTTTAAAAACAAATAAAAATTAAAAAAAATAGTAAAAGGCTTCACATTAAAGAAAGAAAAAAATGAACAAAAGCTTGATTTCCCCAAAAAGGTACGACAGAAAGATGAAAGTCAATTGTACTGGTAAACTGTCAGTTTGCCACATTATTTAATAAATCCTGTGTTTCAGCAGCCCAGAAATTATGTTTCTTCAAGTTGCCACACTCAGAGGAGCCTGGGATTGACTATGCCTTGGAAACGTGTACGGGAAATAGAACCATAAGGAGAAACAAATGTCAGGAGCTGTTCTGAGAAAGGGAAAAACCAGAAGGCACGTAATTCGTATTAAGCACCGATGTTTGGGGGTACTGTTCTTCCTTCCAAGGGACTTATTTTCTTGACATTACTTAGAATTTCCACTACAGTTTTCACCTGAGAATCTGAAAGCTCAATAGATAAGACAAAATTTCTCTCAACAGTAGACGATTAGTAGGGTGTGGCAAAATCAAGACGAGCAAGAGAGTTGACACCAAAGATTAGTCTGTGACACGACTGGTGCCAGAGGACCCCGAAATGCTTGTATTACCACCACAGGCCTACAACCAGTACCTGACACTTTCTTCCTTCCTTCATCCACAAAATTTCTTTAACACTGAAGAGTTTTGTTTTGTGACAATTTCATGGTTCATAAGGACAATACACCTGCCAATAAAGATGTCAAAGCCTGGCCCACTGATCTGAACAGGATTAACAAGAACAAACAGAAACTTGTTACTAATTCTCTGCTTTGAGAAGCCGAGCAACTATTTGTTTGATTACCTACAAATGCTTCTAGTGAAAGCACCAATTGTTGCAGAGCTCCAGTGGTACAAGGCAAATACAAGCTCTATACATTTTACATGTGTTTCGGAAATGTGTCAGGGAGCTACTGCAAAGAATAGTAATTTTAAGATTATATTCATAATATAAAGCTGTCCATCACCTAGGATGCCCTTATATAGTGCTTAATGTCTTATTCTGTATTTGTCACGGGGGTTTGCCACAAAGTTACTCAATTGTCTTCTGCTCCTGCAATTATTTTTGGGAAAGATTTTTATATTACTTAGTCTTTCTCAAGCTTGTGAGATTACTTAAATCAACATAATTTAAACTTTCATTGTACAATTCTGTCAGGAAGCACAGATACTCAAAAACCATTTTCAGAGTTCAGATCAACTTTCCCATAGACCACAAAATACAATTGCTGGATTTTGATGTATTTCCTCGCTTTATCAGACATACCAACCTGTTCCAATCAACACTGACTTGCTTGATTTTTCCCTAACCATACACGTACAAAAAAGAGAACAGAATCAGTGAAGTAGAATACTTCCACACGGCTACATTCTCCTTTACTTTTGGGGAGCGCAATACTGCATGCTATGACGATGCATAACTGACATCAATACTTTCCAGTCAGAATATGAATCCTACTTTCTCCATTGTCACCAATGATAATAACAACAATTCTATTTTACTTACAAGAAAAGTGTCTTGCTACAGGCATGAGAAATGTCTTACCACAAATTTTGCTACAGTGTGTGTTGTTATCTTACATGACAATTATATAATATAAGCATTTTATAAAATATATTGTTCCTTACATCTATACTTCTCTTCCAGGAGGCCCTTAGAAAGAGACATCAAGCCAATTTTCAGGGACTGCACGCGAATTTTTCCAGTTCGGCCACTGAAATTATAAAGATAAGACCATTTAATACAGTTTAACTTGATTTCATTCCAACTCAAGTCTATTCAAAATGCAAAGTCATCAGTGAATTCTACTTCAAGTCTCAAAACAAATTAACACTACAAATCACATTAAGAATGCTTCCCTTACAAAAGTTGAGCTCACCTTCTAAGTGGTTTACATGTCAAACAGTTTGTGCTACTTCACAACGGCAGACATTTACCTCTGTAAAGCTCTCAACATGATTTAATAATGTGATATACACAGAAAAAATACATGAGCACACAGCAGGAAAGCCTATTACACAGTGGGAAACACAAGGACTGCTAAATAAAACCAAGCTTTCAATCACAGTAATTCATCCTTTTTTTCCACTTCATTTTTTCCTTTTATGTTTAAAATGCTCTGATACACATGTGTAGTAGGACATAAACAGCTAATCAAATGCAGCAATTAAACGATGTGGAAATGTTGTTTTTTTTAAGCAGCATGACTTCAGGCTCATCTTGTCCAACATGAAAAAAAAAAAAAAATGCCCAAACCCAAAAAACCACACATCAAACCTTAAGCAACTTGAGAACAGATAAGCGGGTACTAAAGCAACTGATTTTAAACCTGCAAGACAAAGACTGTTCAAAAAGATAAAACCAAAAGCAATAAAACCAGGGTACAGGGAAAAGGAAAATTGTAAAATTCAAAAGACCAGTGCAGAAACATATTTGTAAAAGATCTCATGACATCTTCTTTCAAAGACCAGAAAACACCACACCCTTTGTCTGTAGATGATACACGGCAAATCATGAGAATAGTAGTTAAATTGTATATATTATACACAAACCCCTGCATTTAAGGTTAGCTAGGTCCTTCACCAGCAAGTAAGACAATACTAACATTAATATCACCCCAAACATTACTTTTGTCCCTTCTATCATGCAGAAGTGATATATCCCTTAATTACTTCTGAAGTGGTTATCAGATATCTCTTTCTGTCCTATCCATTCAACATATGGGCTGCTGTCTGATTTACTTCACAAATGTTGTGCTGAATACAAAATTATTAATTTGCTCCTGGGCTCTCATTAAATTAGCTAAGCGCTTTACAAATACTAATGCATTTGTCTTCAAAACTATCACCTAATCTAGTGAGACTAGGCAGTACTATCTTCTCTTCCACAAGCTGGAACAGAGGTACAGAGAAATTATTGCCAAATTAATCAAAAACACCCATTACTTTTACTGTCTAGTTTGAAAATCAGGACACAATTTTCCAGAATGTTATAAAAGTGCCACCTATTTTATACATTCAGGCTTAGCTTCAAATTACCTCTTTCAGTCACAGACACTACATCATTCTGGCATACCTGAATGTGTAAATGGCTCATTTTGCAGCCTTGATAAAGTTCTTTCACCATTCTTTCCTGTGTAAGGGTTGTCTGCGTTTTAACTTTGTATTCAACAGAAAAACAAAGCAGAACATTAATTTAGGTTTAATTTAACTCAGGGCTGACTAGAGCATTTGTTTATTAAAGGCAGAAATTCGGAAAAGCTTTGCAGCTAAAAGGTCAGGCTGTACGTGTAGAGGCTTCGAACTTCTCCAGATTTCAACAGATTGTTACAGGGACTGTGAAAAACTTCCTTCACACAAAAAGCTTTTTTTTCAATAAATTATAAAAAAATAATTACAAAGCCTGCAATATTACCTATTTCTAAAGAGCAATATACTTTCTCCTATCCTTTTTCTTAGAAACAGCTAAATGTTAGCACTGAAATTGTATATATATAAAGTAAAAAACCCCACACCAAAACCAAACAAAAAACCCTCACTAAACCTACAGACTTCGCAGCATTGACATTTCCAATTCAATGGTTTACGTTTTCCCAGCTTAGAGTCACAAAACCACTAAGGTTGGGAGGGACCTTGAGAGATTATCTAGACCAATGCCCCTGCTCAGTAAGGTAGAGCAGGTTGTCCTGGCTCATATCCACTCAGGTTTTGAATATCTTCAAGGATGAGGACTGCACAGCTTCTCTGGGCAACCTGTGCCACCGTTGTTTGCCCTCACACTAAAAAAAAATAAAAAAATCTTAAAAGTCTAAAACCAGAATGTCCTATCTTTCAGTTTGTGCCTGCTGCCTCTTGTCCTGTTGCTGGGCACCACTGAGAAGAGCTTGGCTTCATCTTCTCTGCTGCTCCCATCAGGTATTTTTTACATGGGTAAGATCCCCCTGAGACTTCTGTTCTCCAGGCTGAAGGGCCCCAGCTCTCTCAGCCTTTCCTGATACATCAGATACTCCAAGTCCTTAATCATCTTGACAGAACTTCATTGGGCTCTCTCCAATTTGCCCATATCTCTCTTGTCTTGGGGAGCTCAGAACTGGACATAGCACTCCAGATATGCCTCACCAATGCCAAGTAGATGGGCAGGATTACTTCCCTCGACCTTCTAGGAATGCTTTTTGTAATGTAGCCCAGAAGACTGATGGCCTACTTTATCACAAACACATGTTGCTGGCTCATGATTCTGCCCCTCTAGTCCACCCTTGTGAGACCCCCACCTGGAGTACTGTGTTCAGCTCTAGAGCACAGGAAGGATGTGAATCTGTTGGAAAAAAGTCCAAAGGAGGGCCATGAAGATGACCAGAGGGAGGGCTGGAGCACCTCAGGACACACTGAGAGAGCAGGGGTTGTTTAGCCTAGAGGAGAGAAGGCTCTGGGGAGACCCTAGAACAGCCTTCAAGCACTTAAAGGGGACCTACAGGAGAGGTGGGAATGGACTCTTTGTCAGGGGGTGTAGCAACAGGACGAGACGTAACAGTTCTAAGCTGAAAGAGGGCAGATTTAGACTAGATATTAGGAAGAAATTATTTCCTGTGATGGAGGTGAGGCACTGGAGCAGGTTGCCCAGAGAAGCTGTGGATGCCCCATCCCTGGAGGGGTTCAAGGCCAGGCTGGATGAGGCTTTGGGCAACCTGGGCTAGTGGGAGGTGTCCCTGCCCATGGCAGGGGGTTGGAACTCGATGGTCTTTAAGGTCCCTTCCAACCCAAACCATTCTATGATTCTATATTCAGCTTGGTGTCCACCAGGACCACCAGGGCCTTTCCTGCAAAGCTGCCTTCCAGACACTCATCCCCCAGCCTGTACTGGTGTACGGGGTTATTCATCCTCTGGGGGAGGATTTGCCATTTCCCTTCACTGAAATTCAGGAGGTTCATGTTGTCCTCTTTGTGCAGCCGGTCAAGGTCCCTCAGAATGGCAGCATAACCATCTAATTGTGCTGTATGTACAAACAGCTAAGAATCAAGGTTTTAGAGCAGAAAGGTTCAGGAAACTTTTTAATGTTTGAACTAATACAGAATTTATGGGTCAAGTAATTAGAATTAAGAGCCAGCACACTATTCAGATACACTTTATAGCCATACAAGTGTGTTTGTCATTACAAAATCAATTGAGAAGACCCGTTTAAGCAGCTCAGATTTTTTTGGTCTGATCCTGATATAGGGAATTTTGAACTATTTTGAACCTCTACTAACTGGTTTAGAGCAAACTCATACATTCTCAGTCAATACAACAACAAAAGGCTGTATAAAAATGGCACATTATTGACCTCTAAACTATCTTCAGGTAAAAAATGGCAAACCCATTATAGCTGCTTGACAGAAGTACTGTTCTTGTTTACTCAAGTCCATTTTTCCCTCTGGATATACGAGACCTCTTTTCCCAGGCAATATAAAGTCTAAGGATTCACTGCCCTTATAATGTGATGCTGACATTCCTCTTCTTCCCCAAGTGAACCGGAGTTTTATTGCTTTAGTGGGGAGAAGGAGAGGAAAGAGGCAAGGGGAAGGAGGAAATAAAGAAATCCTTGGATTTGTAGCTGATTCTGTTGTCTGTACATATGCACCAGGCAAGCTCTGGCCAATCTGCTTTAGGTGTGATCTCCCTGGTGCACCTTCATCCACTGCCAGTCAGGAGGTGACACAGAACCTAGAAGTAATGCAACCTTCACACCTGCCAAAATAGGCGTTATAAAAAAAAGGTACACATAATTTCCATGTATGATAGGAGAGTGCGTTGAAAGCATACACTACAGAGAGGACTAGCTTAGCGGAGAATCAGCTAACTAGATCATTTGGTCAAGGGCATGAGAGGGTACCATGACACACAGGCAGAGAGGCTGGATTGGGATTGGAGCACACACAACTTTGTTGCATAGTTTGGACTCTCCGTCCGAGCAGAGAGCAATGATTCAGCTGTTTCAGAGATCCAACACAGCTGCAGAGAATATCGAAGAGATACTTTATACAAAAACTGATGACTGTCACTACCGTACAATAACATAGGCAAACAAGGAAAAAAACAGTGAGCTAGAAATGGCTGTAGTATCAGAAGAGAAAAGGAGAATACTTTTATCCTGTATCTTACTACAGGAGATACTGGAATGCAGAAGGAGGGAAGAACAGGGGACACAGAGATAACAGGGGCAGTGAGACGTGAGCCACACCTCATGAGTTCCCTTGCTAATCCCATAACAACTGAACTCCAAACAAATAAAACTATTATGATTCCAGCCTCCCTACATCAGGCACAAGCAGCGTGGAGCACTTGGGAATCACATAACATGGTTTTGCACTACTTGGTCACAGGAACATCTCAGCTGCAAAACAGCACGCTGAATCCTATAACTGACATTTCTCTCTGTTCAAACACCTAGGAAATTCAATGGTAGATTTTAAAGCAGGGTTAAAATTATCTGAAAGTATGTTTTTCCAGGAAAATGAGTTTAGTGAACTTTACAGAAACATTCCACAATCACACAACTGTCACACGCAAACTTTATTCCTTTCACTAAGTAACATCCTAATACAGAATTAGGACCCAAAACTCCTTTGACAGGCAAACACAGTTTACACCATAGTCAAAACAGGGCCCTGTGACACCTGTAAATGATAAATGTACTAATCAGGATGTAATTAATATTAGACTGTTGAATAGAAGCATACAAAACTAGTGTTACAAACAATGGTATGCAAGTATTCTGCAGCCTTGCAATGGCATAGCCAGATATAATATAGAAGCATTTTACCTAAGTATGTGAATGCCAAAGGGGCAAACAGTGATGGGCACAGCTGCACACAGGAGTTAGCCAGATAACAAAGAGCTGCCAGACAGAGGACAAATTTAAGTATAAGAGATTACAAACAGGAATACACAATAAAGATGACTGGCAAACCAACAGAAAACAAGATAAGCAAAACCAAGTCCAGAGGAAATCTATGTCCCCCAAGGGTGGGGAGCAACAGCATGAAAACATCAGGCACGAGCAAGGAAAATTGGAGAAGAAGATGAGCCTTCTTCTGTTCTGACTTCTGCCAAAGACCCCTCAAGTCCGGTCGCTGCTGACACTACAATTAAGGACTACCACGGATGGCAGCTATCAGCTATCTACATAACCCCGCAACAGGAGGCAGCCTGGGAGATCTCTAAAGGTCCCTGCAGATGCCTCCCTTTGATCACCCACAGAGGAGTCAAAGGGTGCTCATTTTCCTGCCCTACAGATGGCCATGTCCTTCCCAGAGCATGTCTCATTACTATCACAGCCTACCAAGCTGCTTCCACAGAGTCCTCTATGAATCAAGACAGCTATTGCCAACACAGGGAATGCAGCTGGAGTGCATGCAGAAAATTTCCATCAGCTACCCTCAAAACCAGGGCATACAGTTAAGGCTGGCTGAGCAGGTGTTTCATCCTTCTCATTCCTCTGAAGCTCAGAGTTTGCTAAACTTAACATGCTGGTAAGGCCTGGGCTATTAACTCAACCTGGTCTTAGAATTTGCCAGGTGTGTAAGTGCAACAGAAACAGCAAAGTTGTAATTCTTCAGGGGAAGCCTGGGCCATAGAGAATGATCAGGAGTGACAGCTTTGATTATGTGGAAAAGGTCAGCATATGTGCAATACCACAGACACCCTTCCTAGACTAATGCACCAAAGAAATTAAATTTAAAAGAATGCATTATCAAAAGTATCCTAACATCACAAAAATCAAGAAAATTTAAAAGTTGAAATACAAGAAGTCAGATAAATATTGCAAGAGTTTAAAAACAGTGCACATAAAAGGTTCTTTACAGAGATTGGGTAATTTTGATTGAAATAATGTAATTGCCCAGCATTAGTACATGTATTCTATACTCTGTGTGACAGACTAACATATCTAAATCAACTCACTTCAAGAGATGTCGAGTTATTCCATTAGTACTGAAAGTTATCAGTCCATTTCATATAAATGACTTTCGGAGATTTTAACAAATTTGACAGTGATAGAACAAAAACCACCAGCTATTGCTTTTGGATGATTTAAACAGAGGCCTGGACAAATTATTTCATAGAGCAAACAATTTTCTTCACAGCTCACACTGTAAAATGTAACGTGTTTATTCATAATTTCACTTAAATAAAAAAAATCTCTGGACTAACCAAACCAAGGAATTTTGACTTGGGAAAATGTTTACAGGGCAGATGTTGCTGCCTGGAACAACCTTTGAGTTCTTGAAGAAGTCACCGAGCATGTTTAATGTTTCTCTCTTCTACTCAGCTTGAAGAATGAATCATTCCTGATGTGTCAGAAACATGAGAACACAACAGACTTGCCTACTATTTCTGAAAATAAATTGGTTCTTTGTAAGGGCCAAAGACATTGGTAGGTAAGTCTGAAGAGCTACCCAGTTTGCCATCAATCTGTGAATCAGTAATTAAATCTCAGGTTAATAGCATGCGACTAACAGATGCTATTTGTAGGCAGTTTAACGATTTCAAACTGCATACGTGTAACACCAGTGCTATAAACAATGGAAATGCCACAACACAAGTTAGTTCTTTCTTAAAGGCTAATTTAAAAACAAACAAACAAACAGCTTAAAATTGGTGCCTGTTCTTTCAGCTTTTTTCTTTTTTTCCCTTGCAGTGGATTTGAAAGGGGAGCAAAAAAACATACTATAAAAGGTGATTTTATCTCAGAAAAACCTCATCCTCCATTTTTCAAAGCTTGACTGAAGATTAAAGTCTTTCATCAGCTTGAAGAATTATCTACACTACAGCTTTCAATATAATAATCAAGGGGAAGCAGGAAGAACAGGAAACATTATTTAAAGAAAGGTTTGTTGCTTACTACGTGCACTTTAAATATGAACAGATTAAACAACTGACTTCTAACTGAAGTTATGAAGCAAAGGTAAGCTAAAGAAAATATAATGGATTTGTGATCAATCTGGAAAAAAAACAACCAGTAACTACAAAAAATTCTCTGACATTATTAAGTCTCCTACTCTAAATAACCAACAACACTTAAGTCAAGCAACCCATTTGATCTGCTGCTCTATTAGCAAGTGATGTGTTTATTCACCCACAATACAGAGCTCAGCAAAATAAAAATAATTGCAGGAAGAAGTCCCAGTCATTTGATGGGCTCTCCAATTTTCCAGCAGTAATGACGAGGAGTCCAACTAACAGAAATGTCACAATATTAAACAGCAATATCTGAATGCCAAAGCATAATAGGTCATCAGCACAGAAATGATAAATGGTTATATGTACTCTGTTGCACCCTTCCCTCTCCTCTACCACTATATTTAAAGTAAGAAAATAAAATGTCCACAAAGTATAGGACTACCAGCCTTTAATCCTCTGGAAGGAAAAAAGCTACGAACTGCTACAATTCGACACTGATTAAGAGAGTGAACGTAGGGAAGATAATGCATACATCAAGAAGTAACACCTCTCTTTTGCAAAGCCAGGTATAAGAATTTGTCATTGCTCAATACATACTTTCGCTCTTTCCATCTTCAAATGGGGAGAAAGGAAACAAATTTGCTAACCAACCTCAAGCAGCTCGGAAATTCTGATTTGTAATTCTGTGTATAACTGAACTGAAGCATATGTTCAATTAGATGTTCTGAAGCAACTACCCCATGTATTGCAGTACTGTGTCTTTACTCAGCTCCAGAAGAGTCCTGAAATGCCTTTACCCAAGCAATGTGAGGAGATACATTATGGGGAATGGGGCAGCTGATGGAAACCAAGTCTTTTGCCAGTTTTTACTGCAGAAGGGAGATTAGAATAGAAAAGTCACTAAAAAAAATGAGCAAGAATCTCATGACTCAAAAGCACAACTAAATAAAAACATATGGATTGTAGGTCACGCAGAATGACATAGCATGGGGCAGGGTAGAGAGGTCAGAGTTCGACATTCATCAGAAGAAAGAAGTGTCTGGGGGCTCAGAAAGGGCTGGCCAAAACCACAAGGGCCTGCTGGAGTGGACTTTTTCGTGTCCTCTGAGACTCAGTGCTCTCTCTGGAAATAGCAGACATGCATTTAAATAAACCCACAAGTTCTTACTGTAGGCATCCTGAAATATTCTTGAGGCAAACTCACAATCCACTGGGGAAATACACTTTTGCTGCCCGGACCAGGGCAGGTGGATCATGTAGCACCCCCACTCAGAAGTGATACAAACCTCCAGCATCAGAGAGGTCTTAGTGCAGAGATCAAAATAGCTACCACTTGACGGAGGATTCAAGACAGGGAGCTCAGCCAGGATTATGGCATGCAAGAAACTAAGTGTAAAGTAAATAAAAAGACTGACCCCACCTGTGGCAGAAATAGGATCCGGTACAAATAGCAAACAATCTGGACAATTTGGAACATTTACAGTAGGAACACAGCTAAAGCAGTATATTCAGTTCTCTACTCATACATACACTTCCTGAAACCCTTTCAATGTCTTTGGTAAGCAGTGTAATGTTAGTTCAGTGAATCTGAGCAGGACAGCATAAGAAACATATCTCAAGCAATGACACTTTCATTACAGAGTCAAAATTATCAAAAGATATGACATTTTATTAAAGAACTTCTTATTTTTCTATTATCATGAACATTTCTCAAGAAAGTAACTCAAAAAATATACAACAGTCCTGAAAGCCTAGCATTTTTGATAAGTCACGTGGAAATCTTACCAATTCTGTCTCAGCGGTTTATACTTTGTTAGTACTACATTAAATTCCTGGGGTACACACTGTAAATAAATTTTTTTTTTACTTACCTATCATATACATTGAGTAGCCAGTTAAGACATAAGTCTACACAAAGAGGAACATTCACCATATCTCTGTGTTTTTCTTCAAGTCCACTGTAGATGGTAGTGAGACAGCTGATCACATCCTGGACACCAATCAGCTGGTCATTTTGACTCAACTTGTGCTGTTTGAAAACTTCACTTGTTGTGTTCAGGTCCAACAGGTCCACTAACAACAGGTGATTTTGAAGAAAAAAAAAAGGCATGAATATAGATGCTCAAGCACAGCATTCACAATATTCGTTAATCTGCATATTGTAGAGAACACTGCAATTAGCCAAATAGTTTTCAGTTAGTAACCACTAATGAAAAACTATTCTCTGTTAGAATTCAGTAGCATTTTGGTACGATGCATTTAAAAAAAATGAAGCAAAAGAACACTGTAACGGCATTGCACCGCTCAGAACACTAAAAAGACACTACAGTAGTCTGTGTAATTACAGGATCCTAACTTCAGATGTACATGCACTAGGAGCCCGCTAGGCTTAGAGGGTTCTCTGCATTTACCATAAAGCAGAATCTCATTATATAATTATCAGTTTTTACTGAATGTAAAGGAAAGCAAATTCTTAGGTGGCAACGTTCTCTGAAATGCAGTAGGAATGTACTGAGGCCTGATTAACTCAACTAAATTAAGGCTTAAAAGAAAGCAGGGATGGACACAGGGAAATTACTTATTGTTTTCCAGAACACCAAATGGTACACTTTCATTAAAAACATTTTGATGTCCTTTATTACAGCATGCTTTCTATAAGCAGCTGGTGATGCCATGGACATCCTACAGCTGACATGAGTTTTGCCCCCAAATGCGATTACAATTGTGAAAATCTGGGTTTTGCATGGTGAAAACAAAAAGCTGTCATAGAGCCCTCCTAATTCCTTTTGCAAAACAAGGTGGAAAAGAGGAAACTTATTTTGGTGTAAAAAAAGGAAGAATAAGGTAAATCAAAGGGTGGTATAATCCTCAGTGACTTTGTCAGAATCTAGGACTTTAGCAAAAAAAATAGTTGCAATATATCAGTATGGCTGCTACAGTGTATACATAATGAAGTTGAAGTGTATTCTGAGCTCATACAAAGCTGTTTTCGGAGAGCCAGTAACACATTTATACCATAAATGTCATTTCTCAAAGGAACTGAAACATGACAATCTCAGATGTGTTGTAAATCGTTCTGCACCAATAACGTCAAAGAAGGACCCCAGAAGGGCAGTCTCTGCAAATCAAGTAGATCCAGTGTGGGGCTGGAAAACAAGTACAGCAGAAAAAAGCAGGAGCAAGGCAACACTAACCACTATGAGCAATTCTGTCAGGAACTCAGAGACCATCTACCAAAAGAAGGTGGGGCCAAATGAAGGTTACATTCCCAATCCCTTTTCCTCAATCTGCCCTTCCTAACATCACTGTAAAATGAGAAACAGTACCTCACAGCCCTTACTTTTTTCTCTCCCTTGCTGATATCTGTACATTCTGTTCTAATCATACAGCATCAGACTTGCAGAGGGGTTACATTTGTTTGCTTTTTATTTTCTTCTTTTTTTTTTTTTTCCTCTCCTAAAAGTGCATCTCTTGGGCTTGCAAACAAATGCCAGCCATGTGCTTGCCAAAGAGGCAGACTGTTAATTGCAGCAAAACACCTTGCTACTAGTTTGACCTGAGGTAGCTAAAGTCTTTGGCAGTACACTGCAGCATAATCTTCTGCAGTAGCTGTAAAATACATAAAATTTTTGAGGGGTGGAGGGAGGAGGTGAAGTCAGAACTATAACATGCTATCCAATCACATAAATATTGCACTCGGGAGAGATGGGCACTTTTCATGTTTTTCCTTCATGACATACAAGGGGAAGAAAACCCTTCAAAACTATTGCAGTTTGTGGTTTGGGTTTTGTTTTGTGGTTTGTTTTTTTTTTGTTGTTGTTGTTTTTTTTTTTTTTTTGAGTTGTTTTTGTAATATAGTTAACAGTTAGCCAAAAGCAGGTAAGGAGCTTCCTAAAACAGACTGACAGCACTGAAAACCTGCCCTTTTTAAAGCCAGTTAAAACCTGGAATGCTTCGGAATACCAGAAAGTTGTAGCCCCCTTGGCTTGGCGTAACCACCCTTGCACTGAAATGGCAATTCACCAGACACTGCAGTAAGCCTGCTGACTTCGTGTCTTGATCTGCTGGCATTAAGCTCTCATATTCACATTCCTGTCAAAGGATTCTAGAGGGAACTGAGAGAAGTACTTTCAGTATTTTTATACTGAAAGGAAACTCCGCTGCTGTACTAATGCAAATTAAGCAAAGCTTACACTTTTGCATGACACCATTCATGGAAAACAACCAGAGGAAACTGCTTCCATCCCCACTTACTTCAGCACTCACCTGGCTGAATGAACTTTGGGTACAGGCAGTTATCCTGCCATGGCAAGGTCTACCCACTAGCAGAGCTCCTGGATTGGGCTGGTGTAAAGAGGAATTATTTTCTCATTATATTTTCATTTCTGAAAGTTTTAAATTAAACTGTGTTTATGCAGATGGGGAAAATCTAACCTGAGACTCACATGTCGTTGCAGGCACGAAGCCTGCTGTACACAGCTTTTAGTGCATTTTTGCAGTACCATCCTGCACCTGCTCAAACGTGCTGAACAACCAATCCTGCTGTTAACCAACAAATGGACACAAGGGTCCTTTCTACAGCGAGGAGACTCCCAAAGGAAAACTATAAACAGAAATCACATCATTCAGCACAGTTCGAGCAGATGTGAGTGACTGGCTCAGGAGCAAGTAATGACATGCAGCTGCTAATGGCAAATCTGAGGCTGCTGTAACCCCACAACAAACAGGCAGGCATTGCCATGGGGCTTTTGGATTAGAAAGACCTTGTGCATGATAGCAGCTCCTGCAAAACACTGGATAGCTGAGGGAAGTCTACACAGCCCTCGCTTTTAGTCCGGTGTGCCTTAGCATTCATTCCTTAGCCTTGTGCAGTCGACATTCCTATTAGCATTCTTAAATTTTATACATGGCTTTTTTGTTCCCTTTTCGCCTTCCAGTACTATACTTTGGTATCTGGGGCAATATGATTTCTTGAAAATAAGCTAAAGTATGCTGCGCAAGAATAAAATACTATAGTCAGGGCCTGGTGCTACATAGCTGCCCCATACAACTGCAATACAGGACATTCTCTCTGGACCTATTCTTCTTCTGCTACAGTGGGAAAGTGCTGTCAGTACATCTGCCTCACATAACCCGAGACAGAGAAGCTTGTTCTTTCCAGCCTGCAACCTTCCTCAGCTTCCTGCAAAATAAATACACACAGGTAGATACACACATCTATTAGTCTCTGCAGGAATCTACCTTCCAAAAACCAGAACAAGATAAAAAGTGACTCTACCTGCCTGCTTCTAAAGTGGGGTAGGGAGAGTGGGAGGGAACAACTTCCCCAGAATCATATTTTTTGACACTTACTGAGGAAAGACTCAGATATGAGACTTGGCATCAGCAAGTTTTCCAAAGTACGGTTCTCCAATTACATCCTCCGGAACCTGCTTGCGTAGCACTAACACTGTGTTACCAGTCCTCACTGCAAAGTCAAAGTCTATCAGGTACAAGCGAGACTGTGCATCCTGCTTCAGCTCTGCCCTTGGCGTTCTCGCTAAAAAGGCTTTTGCAGTTATACACACACTGCAGCTGTGATGGCAGTTTGTCACATTTTACAGTTTACAATGATCTCATTTTCTAGTGATTTGACACTTTCTTTGCCTTAGCACATAAGCCTTTCTGAAGCATTCTGTACCCAAACACCTTCAAAAACCATCCACAGGTAAAATTACAGGAAATGCAATGGAAAACTAAAGCAGCTCAGACCAGAGAAAGAATGACACGGATGATTCTTT